CACTTTGTAGATAACTTTTAAGGAGGCGTTTGTTGAGTTGGTGTGACCAGTGTTAACAAGGCGCTCGATTATCGCACTCCTGAAAGAGCCAATACTGTCTTTCACCAACCATTCGGGATAGTTCTCTTGGACCCTCTCAGACAGGATACACTCCGAACGACAAAGATAACTGACTCCACAAGAACAAGTGAACTGATATATGCACAAAGAAGTGGTGAGATGTGCGATCCTTTCCTTCAGCCTTCTGCAGACCAATGGAAAACTAGAGAACACCGCTCTTAGCGTCGCTGTGAAGAATGTTCTTCTCAGATATGATGAATTTCTCCTCTTAGGGATATCACAGGTTAAGTCTCCCTTGAAACCAAAGCTCACGTAAAGCTTCATTTTTGGCACAAGTAGACTACCTAGCTCGGATTCTACATAACTACAAGAACCAGGTGTTTGAGACTCTAGGTGATATGACACAATGACTCAAATACATCAATGCTTTGCTTTTGTGTTGACCGGATTTTGTTATATCACGATCATCATTCCATTCTTTTCTTCTTACAACACTTTACGACTTTATTTTGTTTTTTAATTTCGCATTACCCATTGGTGCCAGCATGAAGCCAAAGTGAGCGAACATAATCACCCTGAAAAACAATCTACGTATTTATACTTTCTCTCTTTTCCTTATTTACTAATTAGGTGAGAATTGAAGATAACATCGTTGTAACAGAAACCGGTCATGAGCTTCTAACAGATGTTCCTAGAACTGTAGAAGAAGTTGAAAATTGGATGTCTACCACAGCTGAAAGTAATGGAAACATATAGATTTATCTGTCTTCCAAACTCCGGTGTATGATTACTAATTGTATCAAAACTTAAAAACTGATTATTTTTCTACCTTTATTTGGTATTAATTTTCTGTTCGATGTAAAACTGATCATCGATAACGTTTGGTTTGATGAATAAGTGGTCATTTCTTCTTATCTGAATATTGTAATCCAGTGAGACGGCGTGTGGTGACTGGAAACTTCCTTTACTTTATTGCTTAAATGATTACCGTCGTTTGTTAATATTTATTATATAAATTACAATCAATTCTGTTAAATAAAAATTCATGAATTCTGCCCCGTCTGTGTTGTGTTTTGGTTTCCTATGATTCGGTCTTTGCGAAATACTCTTCCAAACGGCTACTACACGGCAATAGGTAAATCCAGACAACTATTTAGGCCAATTAGGGAAACAAGTTGCAAAAGATAAATGATAAGCGAGGAAATCTCCAAGGAAACTTGGTTCCTAATTACTTCCCAGAATAGAAAAAACGGTGATGTTTGAGGGAGGACTTTAAGGAGAAATTTACTCGACCTGCGGCTATGCTGGATTTGTCAACTTCCAACTCCTACGTAAATGAGATATCGACATTAGTTCTCCAAATTTAGCAGAGACTGCTACAGCTATTTGTAATCTGAAACGAGGCCTAGTAAAGTGACCTGATGGATTGACCATTGAGGTGTTTAAGGACAGTGGTGATAAACTGTTGTCTGGGTCAACTAAGATATTAGAAATAGTTCCAGTAACTAAGATGAAAATCACTGATTATTCCAGTTTATGGAGAGACAAGTTTTTCTGTGATAGTCATAAAGGAGTAAGGTTGACTTAATATTATTTAAAGTCCTAGTTTCAATAATTATGCATACACTAAGTGGTGCTCAGATGAGACGAACCCGGAAAATCGAGCAGACTTCAGGCCAGTTATACGATCATGTTCGTAAATGAAAATAAGCATACTTACTAGCGGCCGACATTTGCCACGTTTCTTAACCTGTAGGCATCACGAGACTAGGCGGGTACTTTGGCAACGTTTAGCCATGAAGGGTGTGCCGAGAAACTTTGTCAAACTAATCAAGGCACTCTACTCAAACTCACACAGCAATGTGAGAGCTTATGGAGAGTTATCATCTGAAATGACAACGGCCAGTGATGCCTGACATGAATGCCCAATGTCCCCACTTTCATTCAGATTACTTGTAATTCTCCTAAAGCCAGAAAAATGGAGGATTTGATCGTAAAACTCAGTTGCTTGGAAATTAAGCTTTTGAATAGCTGAGGTAAATACGTTAGTAAACGTCAAGTTGAAAGACAATGCAGTGAATTGACATTGTTTTTAAATGTGCGAAACACCAACTAAGCTGAACTGGATGACTTACTAGTGTTAACAGAATGGTGGCTTTCCATTGACTCAAACGTGAAGCGATCTAAAATTGAGTATATATATAGACATTTGCAAGAAACGAAAGCACGGAAAACAAAATTAAAGTACTATGCATAGTAGTCCACTTACTCTGATAGAAAGAGAAATCAGGGAATACGACAGACATCGACGTTGAGAATTTCAACTCACGCCGATGATGCCAGTAATTATGAATCCAGCGATTTATAAGGAGAAATGGTGAGTTACTCCACACAGTGTACCTCTTCCTGGGAAAACTTTGTCGCAACGATAAGAACCCTTTGATGCACAGTTCAATTCAGAAGACAGGAGTATTAGGTTTACCTATCCTAAAGATGAGACGTGAATTATACTGATAGTTGTCTATGTTACGGTTATACATGCATTGTGAACTCACGATCACCTCAATCTCCGATATATAGTTGAAGATTCATCCACCATCTATGCATGTTAATAGGTCGACTGACTTCTGTCAACGTACAGCATTCTGTATACCATTAAAGTATCTAATCACCCTTCAGGAAACGTGTACATCACCGAGTAATCTTCGCTCAACTATGAGACTGTGGTGTGCATTCAATGAGGAAAAAGGAACACGAAGCATCCTATTACATTTTGCCTTTAAAATGTTGATTGTATATAGCAGATAGAGTATTTATATGGAATTAAAAATGTGGGGTACAAGTTGTAGTTCTGTGGAAGGAAGTTGTGTCAGATTACCAAGGTATAAATCAACATAATTTCATATTAATTTGTTTATTAGATATACCACGCAGTGAAACGGTATTATTTACTGGATGGCCTTTTGAACACAATTTATTGTTCATAATCATATCACAATTATAATCACATGACTTCGAAACTTGAGTTTTACAGTTTTCTTTGTTCCTTCCTACTTTCCTTACGGGTAGTTGAATTTTCCAGATGTCTGGGACAGGTTTGGGATCACTCCTGTTACACGTGTTTGCAGTTGATTCGATAAATAAAGCTTCCGTTATCAATCTCCCCCCCCACCCTGTTACATTAGATTTCAAAACTGTCATATTATCCCATCCTATTGTATGGTTGCGTTTGATGCAGTGCTATAGCCGAACCATTCTCCAGATTCCTTATCTTATTAGGGACAACTAATCTAGATTTACACTCCGTTAGTCTGATTGACCCTGTTCTACTAATCTGACCTATATACTTGACCTGAGAATCATTACAGCAGGGTATTAGATAAACTAAATCGTTTTGTTTAATTGGCTCCATAGGATCCCTTAAACTACAAAGCTTGTTTCTGCTTGAGTTTTTGGGTTTGAATGCCACTTTTATTCCAGCCTTGTTAATAATTCTGAGTAAAGCTTCCGAGGTTCCTTCTTTGTGCGGAAGTACTACTGGTGATTTATATCCCCTAATGTGAGTGTTGTCATTATCCTGTGCGCGTTTGACATGCATGCCATCATTAATAATAATATTATTATTATCACCATCACTACCATCATTATCAATTTTATTTTTACATTTCCCTACATACTTCCTGATTAATTTATCAGGGTAATTATTAAGTTTCAAAGCTTCTCCTAAGTGCCTCACTTCCTGTCTTAGATTTTCCTTGGTACTACTTAGTTTTTGTGCCCTAATACTTAAACATTTCACCAACCTTATTTTTTATGGCATAGGTAGAGATGACCGGAAATCCAAGTATCGGTTTAAATGTGCAGGTGTTTAACTTCCCATCTTCTTTCCTTTTCACGCTACAATCTAACACTGGAAGCTCCCCTTGCTGACTTTCCAATTCATAAGTGAATTGAATTGCCTCCACCTTTCAATTGATATGTTCAAAAAATCTATTTATCTCCCGTGTTCCCAGTGTGGTGAATGTGTCATCTGCATACCTCCACCATACTTTTGCGGGTGGGGCTGAACGCTTGAATCGCTAAGTTTTCCCACTTATCCATGAATATATCTGCCTTAATTGGGGATATTCATGACCCCATGGAAACCTCCTCAGTTTGCTTGTATATTTTCCCTTGGAACTGAAATACTGTGGGAGTCAGGCATAGCTGCACTCCCAGCATTATGTCCTCAAGTGGCACTTTCGTTCTAAGTTCGAGTTCTTTGTCAGAAATGAGTTCGTTTCTGACTGCCTCTATAGCCATATTTATTGGTCCATGTGTATATAGACTGACAATGTATAAACTAACCATTTTTTTCCTTCGTTACATAATTTTAAATTATCTAATCCATATTCTAGTTCACAAGAATTTGTCAATCTAGATTTTGAGTGGCTTTTAAGAGGATTTAATACCATAGCTAAATATTTAGATAATTCATAAGTAGGTGAATTCCTAAAATCAACTATAGGTCTAATAGGGTGTCCAACTGGGGTTACTATTTTTCGGCATTAAGTCAAACCATTTAGACTCACTGTGTGATATATCCAATAAACGAATTAATATGGAATTACATATTATCACAGTACCAAAGCTTTACACATATATTAAATCTGCATAAGTTTGTACTAGTGTTAAGCCTATCATCTGATCTCAAATTTACCAATCACTGAGGTATATTAGGCTGCATAAAGTAGAAAACAGCTAGTTGTCTGTCTGCCGAGATCCTGAATACGGAAGTCTAATAATGGGAACATAACTCTGAGAAATTCTGCTGCCATTCGACTTATTTGACTGATTTGTTTCAGAGGGATTTAAATGACGAATCCCCGACTTCTGCATAGTTAACGGAAGAAACGTTTCGTCCTAATTTAAGGTTATTCAGCGGTGTGCACCAATGTGGTTTAACAATTAATTACCTCGTCAGAGTAATATGTTTCATCAACGCCATATTTTTTTGAAAACTGGTCAGGAGTCGCCAATTCACCATAATATATGGCAGTTTGTTCTGATATTCTGGGGATAAATAGAGCGGAACGTCCAGATGCAACTTCAATCGTCCCATAACAATCGGGTTCAAGACCACCAAATGCCCAATGAAAAAATGATTCCTTTTCAAACAGAATGAGAAGAAAACCGTCGAAAATCATTTCAATAATCAAAAGGCCCAGTCTAACATGGAGAATTGCGTAACAAACTGGCAAGAGAAATGAGAATAACAAATGTGCTGTAAAGAAGAAACGTCATTGTAAAACAAACATTTCATTTCAAGTCTGTGGGGATTTAGAACAGTGAAACATGAATTTACCTCTTTTGAAAAACCCAAAATGTGTATAATGTGGGGAGACATTTGGTTAAAATTTAACTCTAGGTGAAATACTTCACAATTGATCGCTTGCCTCACTTGAATCATCTGATAGATTGTCTCACGGCTTGTTACAGTAAAACTTTGTACACAGATGCATCAGAAATTCGTACGGGAGTCTGTGACTAATTCGATAGCTTAACCAATTGCATGGAGAGTGATGAGGATTGAATGAATCTGGGAGATCACTAGGTATCAATGTGTCTGCGCCATTCAGAACGATTTGGAGCCACATTACAAGCGATCTGTAACCACTTAGGGGTCCCAGTCAAGCAGACTACACCTTCCTACATGACATAAACCTACAGTAAAAGACTTCATGGGTTGGTTCAATGTTTTACTCTGATTACACTCACTTGTTTTCCAATCCACTCGTACGCCAGTTGGGATTGCTCATTGAGGCTGGCAATAGCTTGAGAACATGAACTACATGTTGTCAGTCATGTCAGTCAATGACATCGACTGACTTCCAGTACTCACTTAACACTCTACATTTAACTTCAGTATTACTAACCCCATTACACCATAAAACACTGACTTCAACGGTCGCGTCTCACAACTATAGGGGACGTGGCAAACTGCTGAGCAATGCACGCACACATTGATCAATAACTGAACATGACGTTCAAGCCAGAGTTGCTGAAAGTTGGCAAATTACACATGAGCATTTTGTATCTCTGCTTCGATTCTATCAAAAACCAGTCTATCAGGAATAATGCAAATTCTCAATTAAATGAAATGGTCGACATGCTAAACGATTTCACTCCCTAACCTCAAACTATGGGTCGGTACAAACCAGGCCTGCAGTAACATCTTACACTTAACAGGGTGTATCGCATCCGAAACATCCTAGGACATCTATTTCCCCATTGTTCGGGAGACTGAGTTTTGTCAGCGTCTCCAACTGATATGACTGCATTATCTACATACCCTAAGTCAAGACTTCCCATAAGTCAATCATCCACCCACTAACTGGAAGAAGTCGACCAAGTGGGTCAGCAAAGAAGCCTTACTCACATACTTCCCAGGAGAATTGCTCTTGTGACACACGATAATATATAGGATAAAAATATTGTGCGTCGGTGGCACAGTGGTTAGGACTCTCGCCGACCATGCACATGGTCCGGGGTTCGATCCCCTGCCGGCGCACACCCGATATCTATGGTATGCCTGAATTTGGGCAACCGATATCCATGCGGAAAATTCCATACTTGTACTAAAAATACAGGGTGAAATCAAGCTGTAAATCAAAAAAAAAATAAATAAATAAAACTCTTTCCTCTCATTACATACAATTGGACAAGAAAATGCAACCTAAATATTCACCTGACATTATGAATACGCCTTAATTCCCGATGAGTACAGTACTGAAGATGTTGTTGAACGTGATGACGAAACATCTACGATCGAATATTAAAGCCCAGAGAACAGTACACAATTTCAGTCGTCATCTTGAGCTACAAATTTTCTTCATTACTACCATATTTCTTAATTTGCTCACTGATTATTTCCTCTGTTAAAAAGCATTTACGAGGGTAAACCGAACAGCCTTTATTCTTTGCTTTCGATTCACCTTCTACTTCGCATGCAAAAGTCTGTTGTCGCAGATTGGACCATTGCGTAGTACTGATAGGTCTTGTAGCCACATCTGTCTGTCTGCTTTGAGGCTCTCAACGTAGTTTGAAGGTTGTCGGAAGTTATTCAGTCTCGGTAAGTCAGTGATTGTGATCTCGTGAGGAGTTTGCTTCACAACTGCCTGACTACATAACACACAGCCCTACTCACATCCAACTATTGAAACCTGTGGCTTTCCAATCTGGCATAATGATATTCCACAGTAAATATTCCACATGGGAGCATAGAAATAAAAAACACTTGAATTGATTTTTTAACACTAGGATCCATATCTAGAGCACGAGAGACCCACCTGTCGGAACACATTGGCAGAATCAGATTCCCCCAAATAAGTGTCAGTACCGCCTTGTAGTACAATATATACGCCTGAAAAATCTGATAATAATCCTTCCGTAACAGTATTCACCAGCTTGTTTCGGATACGATCACAAAGACGCTTCCGATTGGTGGCGTGTAACTCCATTGGTATGGCAAGACATTTGCCTAACCGAAATATGGGGGCTGTTCTACCCGCAGCACCTGGAAACATCTTTAAAGGATAATAATTAATGAAAACATGCTACTGGCAGATAAAGGAAAGAGAAAAAACTGGAATTTTTCATTAGAACATTTATTTGTAAAACGAAAGGGATCTTAACCGGTTTTCACTGTTATATGAACTTTTCAGCAGTGGATATCACGAAATGCACCATCAATTTTGAACAGGCAAATTGTTACTTTCACTCCCCCATACTTACTGCTCCTCGCTTAGCGATATATAAATAGAACTGGTTCAGAAGATAACAGGTGCTTGTTATAATGATTCATATCATCTACCTCCAAATAAAAGCAGGATATGAAAAATCTGTAATTGATTATTGACCACATTGTGCACAGCTAGTGATTGTCTTTGTACTGTAAACCACAGTCAACAATTATACGCGTTCTTGTGAGATCTAAATTAAAGTACTAATCACCGCTAACTAATATCACTCCACAGACTCTGGCTCTTGTAGTACTCAGTCTTCAAACAGTACTCTACAACGGGGTGTTAGCTTACATAGGATTAGACTATGAGAATTTAGTGTAGTCACATTGAAACATGTTCTTAGTCTATTAAGTATTTGACTGTTGGTCTGAATCACATGTGGACTAGCTGGCTCGGCTCCTCAGGATGATGAGAATCAATGGTTCAAAACCATCCACATACGCGAAGTCACTAGCTAGAGATGCAGAAATATGTGCAGGATATCTACTTTCCTGTTATTTGGTTCCTAGGATTAAGCCCCGATCCTACTAAACAATATATATTAGGCGAACTCTAGAGTGCATCTCAGCTTACTGATGGTTGGTCCTCAATCAACGATTGCAAAGGACCTGAACCGATGGAAGTGGATTAAACAAATATGTCACAGCTAGTCCTATATTATATTATGCGTATTATAGGTCTTACCAATAAATATATAAAGAAGTGAACGTATGACCGAAAATCTTCGGGTCGGAAAGTTTGACAAAGAAGCAAGCAGTGGACGTTTAGTTATGTAGCAGTCTTAAACTCTACAACGACTTCATGTTCTTCAGGGGAGAGGACACTCCTGATACACAGATGGACACAACAATGACGACTCCTATCAAGGTTATTCACCTTAAGGTGTGCCTGTGAACATATTTGACAATATGGAAATGGATGTGTGAATGCAGTGTGAGGTATTACTTTTGATATTGCTGATAATATTTCGTGCATAATTCGGTCATTTCTACACATCAACTTATTGTATTTGAGATGGTCACGGTTTACATCCATTTATTCGATTGTGGGTGAAGGTCCTGTTGCTAGGGGGTTCAGAATAATTCGAATAAATGCGTCGAAATACTAGTTTACTGATTATCCCATATGCTTAACAACTAGCCATCGTTCCTTATACATACGAAAGTATTTAATTACTCAACTCACGTAGCAATGAATAACTAATTTGAAAATCAAAAATATATGGAAACTGTTAATGAAGTAGTTTCCAGGTAAAGGCAATTGATTCAAATAAATGAATATATGCAAAGCATTAAAATACTGCCAACTACAATAACAGATGGCAGAAGGAAAAAGAACAAACAATCGACGCGATAACGCATCTACAACCTAGAATACATCAGTTTCGGATCTCAGAAATTGATTTTACCTCATTCAAACAACTGCTAGCAGACATAGGAACGACATTTATATCATCCGATGATTCTGCTTTCGTCAAATCATGCTTATTTTTACTATCTTTCGCTTAAGTTACTTAAAAATTTACCTACCTGTGAATACATGTTCACTCTCTCATTCGCAGCTCGCATCGATTTTGGTCACATCGTGGAATTTTCGTACCACATTTTGGGTGGACTGCAGGCATTTCCGCAAGTTTTGCATATTTCGGTTGTACGTGTATTAGATGGGAATTCTCAGACTTACCTTGGATTTAAAAAAACTGATAGTATTAATATATGTGTGCACTTATATGTTTGATTGGTGTATATTTTCAAAATCTTGGGGAGCACTGGAAACACTTGGTAACTGACATGTACGTTCATGGGCTACCAACGAGAACTGACGTTGCATGATAATCAAGCAGTCATTAATAAGATGCGGAATCAAATAGTGTTCTAAAAATACTTCCAGTTAACTTTAGACGTGCTTCTCTCAATACATTCTACTTTGTCTTTTGGAAAGTAATGTTTCTCAATGGCTCAGCGTCCATCTCCTAGAACAATCCGTCTGGATTTATACTTTACATTTTCCCCCTGGAGAGTGGCTGGCGTAGGTGATTTAATTTTTCGGTTATCCAGTTTTCTTAACTGTTGACCACTACACTTGATGTGTTTATTATGAATTCTCATAGTACTGTTTATTCCCCGAGTCATGTAAGGCTTAACCGTTAGTACATATGGACAGAAGAGATCCACCTGTTGACACGAATACATTTCCTACTTTCAGCTAACAGTGTGAGTTTTACCAGTCTTATAGGTACCTCTGAATGCGAGGAAGAAAAGTTTCCATCACAAGGAAAGTTCCGAACGACGTGCCACCCTGGGAAACGTCACGGAATCTATTTGACGTCCGTTCCGCAACGGACGGCGGTGGTCAGTTTAATTCACTGGGCTACCAGAGTTCTTTGCATCAGAATGCCTATCCTCTGCCTGATTGATTATTCATGTAAAATAAGAGTAATGACAGTACATTCACTTTGGTTTGTGCACGAGGGACTCCAGTTTACACGCGTAAGTTAAATGTTGTGTACAGGGATTATCAAGCTTACTATCATGCTGAATTACGCCTCTGTAATCTGAACTAACTTCAACATTCTATGAAGAGTAAATCCTGAAATTGCCGTGTAATAGTTCGATTATGCTGGTTTTCGCCCAGATTCAGCACTGAATGGTATTAACTCAGAACGAAAAGTCCTAATTCAGCGCAGATTACCATTTTTCCATACCGAGGGCTTTATTTCACCTGCAAATCTTAATTTTTAAGGTTTTGTCGCATTAATTAGGCGTCCACTGCTCGTTTTAAGAACGACCAGAGTTATTTCAGTGCATAGTGGGTTCATTTTAGGTATATAAAATATCCGTTTACCATAAAATGGCATTGTCGACGCATAGGTTAGAATTATTGTACGCTTGTGAAGAGCTATAGAGAACGCCATCCAATATCCAATATTTTTTACGAGCTAGTATGAGCCGATTTGATTTATTTGTGTTCACTTCTTGATTGTGAAGGAAAAGGTTCCTTGTCTTCGGTAAACTTCTGCGTAGTTCGTTCCGCCACTCGACTATCGGAGCTTTGTTTTACTTCAAAAGTAGTGTTGGTTGGCTTAATTTTACGTCGTTTTTATTATGCGATGTGATAAGACTTTGTTGATACTGTGAATGGAGTTGACCCTCTCACCAGTTAGTCCTCCGGTATCGTCGTCAGAAGAAGAGGTGATAATAATAACAATGACAGATATAATCAGTGTAAATTATCCAGACTATAAGGCAGAAAGAACTAAGGAAATCGTAAAAACAGACAGTCAGTTAATTTTGAATTTGATATATATATGTACATATGTAAATATATATTGACTTCAAACTTATAGTGGGACCTGCACGTAAGTAAAAAATGCAGTTCAGAAAGGAAGTGGTTATTGTATACATTACCATGATTATCCAAATACTTGAACAGAAACATGACTTAAAGAACTATTAGGAGGCAGGTTTACAATTCCCATGTTACTGAATATTAAGGTCCCTTCTTCACTTGAACACACATTTCCTCCACCTCAGAGGTTTACCGAAGACAAGGAACCTTTTCCTTCACAATCAAGAAGTGAACACAAATAAATCAAATCGGCTCATACTAGCTCGTAAAAAATATTGGATATTGGATGGCGTTCTCTATAGCTCTTCACAAGCGTACAATAATTCTAACCTATGCGTCGACAATGCCATTTTATGGTAAACGGATATTTTATATACCTAAAATGAACCCACTATGCACTGAAATAACTCTGGTCGTTCTTAAAACGAGCAGTGGACGCCTAATTAATGCGACAAAACCTTAAAAATTAAGATTTGCAGGTGAAATAAAGCCCTCGGTATGGAAAAATGGTAATCTGCGCTGAATTAGGACTTTTCGTTCTGAGTTAATACCATTCAGTGCTGAATCTGGGCGAAAACCAGCATAATCGAACTATTACACGGCAATTTCAGGATTTACTCTTCATAGAATGTTGAAGTTAGTTCAGATTACAGAGGCGTAATTCAGCATGATAGTAAGCTTGATAATCCCTGTACACAACATTTAACTTACGCGTGTAAACTGGAGTCCCTCGTGCACAAACCAAAGTGAATGTACTGTCATTACTCTTATTTTACATGAATAATCAATCAGGCAGAGGATAGGCATTCTGATGCAAAGAACTCTGGTAGCCCAGTGAATTAAACTGACCACCGCCGTCCGTTGCGGAACGGACGTCAAATAGATTCCGTGACGTTTCCCAGGGTGGCACGTCGTTCGGAACTTTCCTTGTGATGGAAACTTTTCTTCCTCGCATTCAGAGGTACCTATAAGACTGGTAAAACTCACACTGTTAGCTGAAAGTAGGAAATGTATTCGTGTCAACAGGTGGATCTCTTCTGTCCATATGTACTAACGGTTAAGCCTTACATGACTCGGGGAATAAACAGTACTATGAGAATTCATAATAAACACATCAAGTGTAGTGGTCAACAGTTAAGAAAACTGGATAACCGAAAAATTAAATCACCTACGCCAGCCACTCTCCAGGGGGAAAATGTAAAGTATAAATCCAGACGGATTGTTCTAGGAGATGGACGCTGAGCCATTGAGAAACATTACTTTCCAAAAGACAAAGTAGAATGTATTGAGAGAAGCACGTCTAAAGTTAACTGGAAGTATTTTTAGAACACTATTTGATTCCGCATCTTATTAATGACTGCTTGATTATCATGCAACGTCAGTTCTCGTTGGTAGCCCATGAACGTACATGTCAGTTACCAAGTGTTTCCAGTGCTCCCCAAGATTTTGAAAATATACACCAATCAAACATATAAGTGCACACATATATTAATACTATCAGTTTTTTTAAATCCAAGGTAAGTCTGAGAATTCCCATCTAATACACGTACAACCGAAATATGCAAAACTTGCGGAAATGCCTGCAGTCCACCCAAAATGTGGTACGAAAATTCCACGATGTGACCAAAATCGATGCGAGCTGCGAATGAGAGAGTGAACATGTATTCACAGGTAGGTAAATTTTTAAGTAACTTAAGCGAAAGATAGTAAAAATAAGCATGATTTGACGAAAGCAGAATCATCGGATGATATAAATGTCGTTCCTATGTCTGCTAGCAGTTGTTTGAATGAGGTAAAATCAATTTCTGAGATCCGAAACTGATATATTCTAGGTTGTAGATGCGTTATCGCGTCGATTGTTTGTTCTTTTTCCTTCTGCCATCTGTTATTGTAGTTGGCAGTATTTTAATGCTTTGCATATATTCATTTATTTGAATCAATTGCCTTTACCTGGAAACTACTTCATTAACAGTTTCCATATATTTTTGATTTTCAAATTAGTTATTCATTGCTACGTGAGTTGAGTAATTAAATACTTTCGTATGTATAAGGAACGATGGCTAGTTGTTAAGCATATGGGATAATCAGTAAACTAGTATTTCGACGCATTTATTCGAATTATTCTGAACCCCCTAGCAACAGGACCTTCACCCACAATCGAATAAATGGATGTAAACCGTGACCATCTCAAATACAATAAGTTGATGTGTAGAAATGACCGAATTATGCACGAAATATTATCAGCAATATCAAAAGTAATACCTCACACTGCATTCACACATCCATTTCCATATTGTCAAATATGTTCACAGGCACACCTTAAGGTGAATAACCTTGATAGGAGTCGTCATTGTTGTGTCCATCTGTGTATCAGGAGTGTCCTCTCCCCTGAAGAACATGAAGTCGTTGTAGAGTTTAAGACTGCTACATAACTAAACGTCCACTGCTTGCTTCTTTGTCAAACTTTCCGACCCGAAGATTTTCGGTCATACGTTCACTTCTTTATATATTTATTGGTAAGACCTATAATACGCATAATATAATATAGGACTAGCTGTGACATATTTGTTTAATCCACTTCCATCGGTTCAGGTCCTTTGCAATCGTTGATTGAGGACCAACCATCAGTAAGCTGAGATGCACTCTAGAGTTCGCCTAATATATATTGTTTAGTAGGATCGGGGCTTAATCCTAGGAACCAAATAACAGGAAAGTAGATATCCTGCACATATTTCTGCATCTCTAGCTAGTGACTTCGCGTATGTGGATGGTTTTGAACCATTGATTCTCATCATCCTGAGGAGCCGAGCCAGCTAGTCCACATGTGATTCAGACCAACAGTCAAATACTTAATAGACTAAGAACATGTTTCAATGTGACTACACTAAATTCTCATAGTCTAATCCTATGTAAGCTAACACCCCGTTGTAGAGTACTGTTTGAAGACTGAGTACTACAAGAGCCAGAGTCTGTGGAGTGATATTAGTTAGCGGTGATTAGTACTTTAATTTAGATCTCACAAGAACGCGTATAATTGTTGACTGTGGTTTACAGTACAAAGACAATCACTAGCTGTGCACAATGTGGTCAATAATCAATTACAGATTTTTCATATCCTGCTTTTATTTGGAGGTAGATGATATGAATCATTATAACAAGCACCTGTTATCTTCTGAACCAGTTCTATTTATATATCGCTAAGCCAGGAGCAGTAAGTATGGGGGAGTGAAAGTAACAATTTGCCTGTTCAAAATTGATGGTGCATTTCGTGATATCCACTGCTGAAAAGTTCATATAACAGTGAAAACCGGTTAAGATCCCTTTCGTTTTACAAATAAATGTTCTAATGAAAAATTCCAGTTTTTTCTCTTTCCTTTATCTGCCAGTAGCATGTTTTCATTAATTATTATCCTTTAAAGATGTTTCCAGGTGCTGCGGGTAGAACAGCCCCCATATTTCGGTTAGGCAAATGTCTTGCCATACCAATGGAGTTACACGCCACCAATCGGAAGCGTCTTTGTGATCGTATCCGAAACAAGCTGGTGAATACTGTTACGGAAGGATTATTATCAGATTTTTCAGGCGTATATATTGTACTACAAGGCGGTACTGACACTTATTTGGGGGAATCTGATTCTGCCAATGTGTTCCGACAGGTGGGTCTCTCGTGCTCTAGATATGGATCCTAGTGTTAAAAAATCAATTCAAGTGTTTTTTATTTCTATGCTCCCATGTGGAATATTTACTGTGGAATATCATTATGCCAGATTGGAAAGCCACAGGTTTCAATAGTTGGATGTGAGTAGGGCTGTGTGTTATGTAGTCAGGCAGTTGTGAAGCAAACTCCTCACGAGATCACAATCACTGACTTACCGAGACTGAATAACTTCCGACAACCTTCAAACTACGTTGAGAGCCTCAAAGCAGACAGACAGATGTGGCTACAAGACCTATCAGTACTACGCAATGGTCCAATCTGCGACAACAGACTTTTGCATGCGAAGTAGAAGGTGAATCGAAAGCAAAGAATAAAGGCTGTTCGGTTTACCCTCGTAAATGCTTTTTAACAGAGGAAATAATCAGTGAGCAAATTAAGAAATATGGTAGTAATGAAGAAAATTTGTAGCTCAAGATGACGACTGAAATTGTGTACTGTTCTCTGGGCTTTAATATTCGATCGTAGATGTTTCGTCATCACGTTCAACAACATCTTCAGTACTGTACTCATCGGGAATTAAGGCGTATTCATAATGTCAGGTGAATATTTAGGTTGCATTTTCTTGTCCAATTGTATGTAATGAGAGGAAAGAGTTTTATTTAGCAATATTTTTATCCTATATATTATCGTGTGTCACAAGAGCAATTCTCCTGGGAAGTATGTGAGTAAGGCTTCTTTGCTGACCCACTTGGTCGACTTCTTCCAGTTAGTGGGTGGATGATTGACTTATGGGAAGTCTTGACTTAGGGTATGTAGATAATGCAGTCATATCAGTTGGAGACGCTGACAAAACTCAGTCTCCCGAACAATGGGGAAATAGATGTCCTAGGATGTTTCGGATGCGATACACCCTGTTAAGTGTAAGATGTTACTGCAGGCCTGGTTTGTACCGACCCATAGTTTGAGGTTAGGGAGTGAAATCGTTTAGCATGTCGACCATTTCATTTAATTGAGAATTTGCATTATTCCTGATAGACTGGTTTTTGATAGAATCGAAGCAGAGATACAAAATGCTCATGTGTAATTTGCCAACTTTCAGCAACTCTGGCTTGAACGTCATGTTCAGTTATTGATCAATGTGTGCGTGCATTGCTCAGCAGTTTGCCACGTCCCCTATAGTTGTGAGACGCGACCGTTGAAGTCAGTGTTTTATGGTGTAATGGGGTTAGTAATACTGAAGTTAAATGTAGAGTGTTAAGTGAGTACTGGAAGTCAGTCGATGTCATTGACTGACATGACTGACAACATGTAGTTCATGTTCTCAAGCTATTGCCAGCCTCAATGAGCAATCCCAACTGGCGTACGAGTGGATTGGAAAACAAGTGAGTGTAATCAGAGTAAAACATTGAACCAACCCATGAAGTCTTTTACTGTAGGTTTATGTCATGTAGGAAGGTGTAGTCTGCTTGACTGGGACCCCTAAGTGGTTACAGATCGCTTGTAATGTGGCTCCAAATCGTTCTGAATGGCGCAGACACATTGATACCTAGTGATCTCCCAGATTCATTCAATCCTCATCACTCTCCATGCAATTGGTTAAGCTATCGAATTAGTCACAGACTCCCGTACGAATTTCTGATGCATCTGTGTACAAAGTTTTACTGTAACAAGCCGTGAGACAATCTATCAGATGATTCAAGTGAGGCAAGCGATCAATTGTGAAGTATTTCACCTAGAGTTAAATTTTAACCAAATGTCTCCCCACATTATACACATTTTGGGTTTTTCAAAAGAGGTAAATTCATGTTTCACTGTTCTAAATCCCCACAGACTTGAAATGAAATGTTTGTTTTACAATGACGTTTCTTCTTTACAGCACATTTGTTATTCTCATTTCTCTTGCCAGTTTGTTACGCAATTCTCCATGTTAGACTGGGCCTTTTGATTATTGAAATGATTTTCGACGGTTTTCTTCTCATTCTGTTTGAAAAGGAATCATTTTTTCATTGGGCATTTGGTGGTCTTGAACCCGATTGTTATGGGACGATTGAAGTTGCATCTGGACGTTCCGCTCTATTTATCCCCAGAATATCAGAACAAACTGCCATATATTATGGTGAATTGGCGACTCCTGACCAGTTTTCAAAAAAATATGGCGTTGATGAAACATATTACTCTGACGAGGTAATTAATTGTTAAACCACATTGGTGCACACCGCTGAATAACCTTAAATTAGGACGAAACGTTTCTTCCGTTAACTATGCAGAAGTCGGGGATTCGTCATTTAAATCCCTCTGAAACAAATCAGTCAAATAAGTCGAATGGCAGCAGAATTTCTCAGAGTTATGTTCCCATTATTAGACTTCCGTATTCAGGATCTCGGCAGACAGACAACTAGCTGTTTTCTACTTTATGCAGCCTAATATACCTCAGTGATTGGTAAATTTGAGATCAGATGATAGGCTTAACACTAGTACAAACTTATGCAGATTTAATATATGTGTAAAGCTTTGGTACTGTGATAATATGTAATTCCATATTAATTCGTTTATTGGATATATCACACAGTGAGTCTAAATGGTTTGACTTAATGCCGAAAAATAGTAACCCCAGTTGGACACCCTATTAGACCTATAGTTGATTTTAGGAATTCACCTACTTATGAATTATCTAAATATTTAGCTATGGTATTAAATCCTCTTAAAAGCCACTCAAAATCTAGATTGACAAATTCTTGTGAACTAGAATATGGATTAGATAATTTAAAATTATGTAACGAAGGAAAAAAATGGTTAGTTTATACATTGTCAGTCTATATACACATGGACCAATAAATATGGCTATAGAGGCAGTCAGAAACGAACTCATTTCTGACAAAGAACTCGAACTTAGAACGAAAGTGCCACTTGAGGACATAATGCTGGGAGTGCAGCTATGCCTGACTCCCACAGTATTTCAGTTCCAAGGGAAAATATACAAGCAAACTGAGGAGGTTTCCATGGGGTCATGAATATCCCCAATTAAGGCAGATATATTCATGGATAAGTGGGAAAACTTAGCGATTCAAGCGTTCAGCCCCACCCGCAAAAGTATGGTGGAGGTATGCAGATGACACATTCACCACACTGGGAACACGGGAGATAAATAGATTTTTTGAACATATCAATTGAAAGGTGGAGGCAATTCAATTCACTTATGAATTGGAAAGTCAGCAAGGGGAGCTTCCAGTGTTAGATTGTAGCGTGAAAAGGAAAGAAGATGGGAAGTTAAACACCTGCACATTTAAACCGATACTTGGATTTCCGGTCATCTCTACCTATGCCATAAAAAATAAGGTTGGTGAAATGTTTAAGTATTAGGGCACAAAAACTAAGTAGTACCAAGGAAAATCTAAGACAGGAAGTGAGGCACTTAGGAGAAGCTTTGAAACTTAATAATTACCCTGATAAATTAATCAGGAAGTATGTAGGGAAATGTAAAAATAAAATTGATAATGATGGTAGTGATGGTGATAATAATAATATTATTATTAATGATGGCATGCATGTCAAACGCGCACAGGATAATGACAACACTCACATTAGGGGATATAAATCACCAGTAGTACTTCCGCACAAAGAAGGAACCTCGGAAGCTTTACTCAGAATTATTAACAAGGCTGGAATAAAAGTGGCATTCAAACCCAAAAACTCAAGCAGAAACAAGCTTTGTAGTTTAAGGGATCCTATGGAGCCAATTAAACAAAACGATTTAGTTTATCTAATACCCTGCTGTAATGATTCTCAGGTCAAGTATATAGGTCAGATTAGTAGAACAGGGTCAATCAGACTAACGGAGTGTAAATCTAGATTAGTTGTCCCTAATAAGATAAGGAATCTGGAGAATGGTTCGGCTATAGCACTGCATCAAACGCAACCATACAATAGGATGGGATAATATGACAGTTTTGAAATCTAATGTAACAGGGTGGGGGGGGAGATTGATAACGGAAGCTTTATTTATCGAATCAACTGCAAACACGTGTAACAGGAGTGATCCCAAACCTGTCCCAGACATCTGGAAAATTCAACTACCCGTAAGGAAAGTAGGAAGGAACAAAGAAAACTGTAAAACTCAAGTTTCGAAGTCATGTGATTATAATTGTGATATGATTATGAACAATAAATTGTGTTCAAAAGGCCATCCAGTAAATAATACCGTTTCACTGCGTGGTATATCTAATAAACAAATTAATATGAAATTATGTTGATTTATACCTTGGTAATCTGACACAACTTCCTTCCACAGAACTACAACTTGTACCCCACATTTTTAATTCCATATAAATACTCTATCTGCTATATACAATCAACATTTTAAAGGCAAAATGTAATAGGATGCTTCGTGTTTCTTTTTCCTCATTGAATGCACACCACAGTCTCATAGTTGAGCGAAGATTACTCGGTGATGTACACGTTTCCTGAAGGGTGATTAGATACTTTAATGGTATACAGAATGCTGTACGTTGACAGAAGTCAGTCGACCTATTAACATGCATAGATGGTGGATGAATCTTCAACTATATATCGGAGATTGAGGTGATCGTGAGTTCACAATGCATGTATAACCGTAACATAGACAACTATCAGTATAATTCACGTCTCATCTTTAGGATAGGTAAACCTAATACTCCTGTCTTCTGAATTGAACTGTGCATCAAAGGGTTCTTATCGTTGCGACAAAGTTTTCCCAGGAAGAGGTACACTGTGTGGAGTAACTCACCATTTCTCCTTATAAATCGCTGGATTCATAATTACTGGCATCATCGGCGTGAGTTGAAATTCTCAACGTCGATGTCTGTCGTATTCCCTGATTTCTCTTTCTATCAGAGTAAGTGGACTACTATGCATAGTACTTTAATTTTGTTTTCCGTGCTTTCGTTTCTTGCGAATGTCTATATATATACTCAATTTTAGATCGCTTCACGTTTGAGTCAATGGAAAGCCACCATTCTGTTAACACTAGTAAGTCATCCAGTTCAGCTTAGTTGGTGTTTCGCACATTTAAAAACAATGTCAATTCACTACATTGTCTTTAATCTTGACGTTTACTAACGTATTTACCTCAGCTATTCAAAAGCTTAATTTCCAAGCAACTGAGTTTTACGATCAAATCCTCCATTTAAGTAGCTTTACTGTTATCCAACCAGCTGTCATCATCAGTACTCAGTAAAGAGGATACTGATGAACAATTTTTGTCGTAATTTAGTGAAGGAAGATATAAACATCAATCACCTAACGTGATTCGAACATACTTACATGTTTTAAGTCGCTACCTTGTTAAAGAATTGCATCGTTTGCTGAGGTAGAGTTAGTTTGAAAGATAACGAGAGGCTTTCAGAATAAATGATAGCACAAATCTACGAAGTCAACGAATTTTGGTCCAAGGTGTGTGGGGAAGTGTAGATTAAACGACTGGGGTCCATGTGACCACGTAGGCACTTTAGTTCGAGACTTTTCAATCCGCCTACTTACTCTTTCCCTCGTTTTGTATTTCTAGCACTACAACTTCCGAATGGATCATGTTCCTTTTCATTTCTCACACAGTAAGACAAAGATAAAAAGCATACAAAGAAACATCAAACTCTGAGATAAATTATTCGTACCTTTGCCTCAGTGTTGCCGTTCCTGAGCCACGTATCGTTAAATCTTCGATAATCATTTTCGTGGCCTCACGAACTCCAAGCAATTACTGCTTTTCCTACTAACGTCAACCATCATTTGATGACTACTCATAAGGGTGTTTTGTCTTCAGTCCGGTTACCGTTCACTTTCTTCCAACCTAGACGTACGTCAGATGTTATCACATGTTACTGCACGCTTGTATAAAGTATATCTCACCTACCTCATTCGATAAAGTTTTACTCATCAGCTGACATACATTTCGACTCAAAACTTCTTACCTAACCTAAAATTTGCCCACGTCACGCTCCACCGTACGCGAGCAATGGTGTAGTGAAAGTATGGTGCAGTGTACCTAATCCCTAATAAATGGTGAAATAACTCAACTGTATTTTAGGTGACACAAGCTTTAGAAGAAACCAAAGGAATGTTTTGTTTTTATATTTTTATCAGTCCACCGGGATTGACGCAGTTCTCCAGAGATGTCCAGTGATTAATTTGTTCAATAAACTTGCCTACTTTGTTACTGGCTCATCCATTTGATGTAGACCTCATGCATCTGAACTCCACTTTCATTTCCTATCAAGTAAAATGTGCCAGATTGGTGTATTTTTTCTCAGGTCTTCGTTTTGTATTTCATGTTTCCTACTTCTGAATTCCTTCTATTTATCTTTTCCTTTCATACACTTTTATAGTGTGGGGTGAACACAGACAGTAATCGTCCGACGTTGGAGGCTAAGTTTGATGGCATTGAAAAGTAAGCTTGATTGATGTGAATGTGGATACAGGTGAAGGGGATTTTTTAATGGAGCATAAAGTAGTGGAAGTTTACTTCAATAGTGATATTATATTAGTTGTATTCACTTCTCATCTTCTCTCGAATTTAATTCTCCCACTTATTTAACTTAACATGATGGTCATTCAGCTTCACCTACCGAGTTTTGGACAACCAAGTAGCGTCACTCGCTCTCGCTCAGGTGTGAAATATACCAGTTGTATGTAAATGCAAGTGGTTGTTGAGTGACATTTCCTTCTTTCCAATTATTGTTCAACGCTTTTGAATGTGGATTTGGGTTTAAAATATTTGTTTGGGAAAGTGATACAATAAATAATGTACAAATGTGTTTATCTGTAGCTAATGTGACACTTAGGCTAACTACTCAAAGATGAAGGCGAATCTGTAATATGATTGAAAGTCGGTGAAACTAACGCAGCTGTATTTCATCAGAATTAAAGTCAACCACCGAAATTACCCGATACCATACAATGACTGCGATTCACTCTGGTTCATTGTGGCTCACGCCGACCTATAATTATAAGCGTCATTTACCGCTAGTTACAAGCACAAAGTCAGAGTGCTGAATGTACCAAACTACTGAAGTTATAACTCCATTATGGATAAGATTTTATTTTGATAAATCATACAGTGTTATTCAGTAATATTAACTGATGACGTTTCGAGCACAAACTATTGCTCATAATCATATCAATTTACTCACACTTCGTTTATATGCATGTGTGTGAGCAACTTGATATGATTATGAGCAATAGTTTGTGCTCGAAACGTCATCAGTTAATAATACTGTATGACGCTGTGTGATTTATCAAAATAAAATCTTATCCATAATGGAGTTATACTCTACCACAGTGCTTAAGTTATTATTCAGTATGATACAAAACCAACGTCTCAACGCAAATGCGCATAATACATGTGGATGATTTATTAAAGTCATGTATACATATATGTATATATGTTGGCATTTGTGAAGACTGTCGCTTATTTTTCTATCAACCAGTAGCATTATCTACGAGTTAAGCATCTTAGATGATTTAATTTGTATCTCGGTAGTGATATTTCCTTTCTTGATTTCTAATACCCTAAGGTTAGTGTGACAAGACCAAAGTGTAGTATTTTCGATGTCAATTTTATTATAACATTGGGCCTTACAGCTATGCAAAATGTGTTTATTTTATTGATTTTAATACTTGTTTCAATGTATCACCATTGTAGAGGAAATAGTTAGGGCACTATTGTACCACTCGATATGTTCAGGTAGTTATTTTTCTCTTGTAGGCTTTAGGATTTCAAAGCTAATCTCCAATAACCATCTAAATGAGTAGTTTTTATAAAAACCATTTTACTGCTATTCCAGATTTAAAGTGAACAAGAACATTCTTCATCATGAAATTGTTTTATGGTAGGTTGAATCTATCTTATGATTATTATTTTGCATATAACGTCAATGTGAAATATTCATTCGCTTAATATCTTGGAAGTCCTAGTGCATAAAGTCTTTGTTTCGCCTCTCGTTTCACTAAGTCAGTGTTAAAGCAACCAGATAAAATCTTTCATATAGAAACCTTTGTGTTTATAAATAAGGAGTGTATTGAAGTCATTCCCCTACTTAAATAACGGCCTTCAGCATACGATAACTGGTGACTAGTTATTTTCCAACCGAATTCCAACATTCCTACAAGAGGACAGGTAGAAACTTTACTTCATTGTGAACAAGTCTTGTGCACGTTCTCACTGAAGAATTGTTTTCTTTACTCAACTTACTAATTTCATGAAAAGAATAGAATGGCGGCGGGAGCTCTGCTGCAACTTAACGAAGATGATTAGAAGTGAATACTTCTGTGAACGATTTCCATCCATGTCACTGATTAGCATCCGAAAAAAATCGAACCAGGTAACTGATACTTTTTTGAATGACTCATGCCAACGGTAGATAACTTCATATATTGGTGGTATATTAATTTCAGTACTCCTAAGTCGCTCCGCTCACCAGCTGTCGGATACAAATCATAATGATTTTCTAGATAGCTGAAGTTTGTTGGTCTGAGGTACATTTTATTGATGTCGTAAACCTTGGTTCAGTGTACCTTTCCCTAACATTCAAATGATATTTGCCAATATCATTGCCGACCACTTATTTACGGCACAGTTCTCAATCATTTACCAGTTGTAGCTGAACGCCATTACTATTACGAGTGAAATTTTTGTTCAAAACGTTAATCTCATACAATGTAGTAGTAATTTCTCTGACTATTTCTCCACTTTCTATCCTCTAGCCGTCTTATCAAAACTGAAATGGAGTTGGAGATTATTCGCTACACAAATCGCGTTAGCAGTGCTGCACATCGCCATTTAATGCGCTCTGTCAAACCTGGAATGTATCAATATCAAGCAGAAAGTATTTTTCGGCATTACTGCTATTTCTATGGCGGAATGCGTAATATGAGCTACACGTGTATCGCTGCCACGTAAGAAATTCAATTCTATTTTTTTGGAAAAACTCATATCAGTCAGTAGTATGTACAATACTTCAATATGGACCCCTATTTTGATGCCGTTAACGGTTTCAAGCAAGTCACACATTGTGATTTGAACATTTTGGGTTTCCATCAGCCACCTCAGTGGAATTGACAAATAACGAATTCTAACTCACGTTTACTACTGTTTTTCAAATGAGTAGTACAAGTTACTCACCGATTTGTAAATTGTTTCCGAAGTAGTTGATTTTATGTTTTCTTATCTAGCTGAAATTTTTTGATGAGTGAACTTTCCTCAAGTTTTCCACTTAGCTGATTTCATGCAATTGCTAATAGACGATATCTTTATCCTTTCTATATTATGGGAAAAGATTAGTTTTCAACTAGAAGTCTTGGCTCTTCTGTTTGACAACAGTGTGCTTTTCCACTCTGGACTTGTCAGACCTAACCGTTTAATTCAAAATTTCATTGTATTGATTACTTTCATAAGCTGGAAATAACACTGTTAAGTCAAGTTGTAGAGTATCACTTGGTCATTGGAGTTATGAACCTGCAGTAAATGAAGTCAGGCATTTGTCATCCATTCTGAGTTATTATATTCCACAATGTGACGCGTTATTCGAAGCAAGAATAAGTCAGAGGGAGGCTAAGAAGTGATCGTATCAAGAGACGGGTTCAGTGCTTGAAATCTGCTGGTTATTAATCAAAAGGATGAAAAGAAGTGTAGTTTGGTCGACTTGTATGTCCAATGATGTTATGAATAATTGTCTAGTGACTTTGATAGACGTGGCCTCAAGTTAATCTCTATAATACGTATTTATATATACATACATTATTCATTATCTGTGGATATTTTCGCTAAGCTTAACTCAATTACTCTACACTTGAAGATCATCAAAATGAAATTAACATTGGACTTATCTATCTACCTTTCAATGAAACATGGTAACTCTTTAATAAATGGTTTATTAATTTGTCGATGAAGTGAATTTATAACATGAATTCCCTTGATAAATCGGAACTAGACTAGAAGTGAATTTATGCAGTTAAATTGAAGTCAAATTTAGAAATCACAATTTACTAATTGTATTGTGTACATACATATTTTTATCTATTCAGAGGTTGTGATTGCTCTGTACTTCACTATGGACACGCAGGCGCACCAAATGAACATCAAATTCTAGACGGTGAAATGTGCTTATTTGATATGGGCGGTGAATATTATTGTTATTCATCGGATATTACGTGTTCATTTCCTGTGAATGGTCGTTTCACTGATGATCAAAAGTTGATCTACAATGCTGTTTTACGAGCTTCACGGTATTTCACATTTGTATTTTTCTGCCTTGTTTGTTCGTTTGATTTATGTATTGTCGATCACCTACTACTCTACTTATTGGAAAGAAATCATTTCATCAATAGTAATACCATAGAAAACTAAACATTTATTCCACATATTGTCTTCCTTATAACTTTTTTGTTTCTATGTACTCTTTCTTTTTTCCTCGATAAAATAGTGCTGTGCTACATGAAATTAGACCAGGTGCAGATTGGGTTAAACTTCATCAACTAGCTGAGCGAGAAATTCTCACCCATCTGAAAGAAGGTGGCATCCTTCTAGGTGATGTGAATGAAATGATGAAAGCGAGACTGGGAGCTATATTTATGCCTCATGGTTTAGGTCACTTACTTGGTTGTGATGTACACGATGTCGGTGGATATACAGATGTAAGACTATTGTATATTATTTTTAAATTGCCAGACTTTTCCATTTCGCCCCATGAATATTATATAAAAAGCAGTAACGTCACAGTATTACACAACATCTATATGATTGTTAACTGCAAAACTATGTAGGTATCTTTAAAGAAGAGTATCACTATAAAAGCATGGATATAAGTCTGTTGACGTCTGTCTGGATTCAACATAGAACTTGTCACCGAAGTGCAACAGTTCTAGTTGCCACGTTCCAACTAGCACACAAAGGTAGACAGGAAGAGAATTAATAGAGTTTTGACAAGTATAAGAGTGAAACAGAATGAGTAATGGTAGAAAGTAATATGAAAGTCTGTTGACAACGGAGGAGGATATCTAAATATATACACACTAAGTAAATCGTGGTATTTCTTACTGTATATAAAGAATGAAATCGGTTCATAATTCCAGGGAAATAAATGTACTTTTTAAATAAGGTGAACATAATGGTGGTGACAGTAATCACAAGTGCTTCATTCAACTTATAACTGAAATCTTATCGAACTTATTGTTATCCATTAATTCACATCCCTGAACTCTGATCCTATATTTGATTGACCAAATTAATTAATTCAAATGCCTATGACTAATATTCTGTTATGTAAATGTAAAGCCTAATGAGAATTCACCGGAAATACGTATTCGCTTAAATCGTGTTCTATAATTATTCGTATCCATCATTAGGCCGTAGGTTGACAAAAATGTATCACATAATTTTATGTTGAATGTCAATGTAGCTCAATTTCTGCGTATCCTCACCTTACTCATTTCGGTGAGAAAAGTCTGTTGTAGAAATTTCTCTAAATTCTTAATGATATCCGATTGGTTGGTTTGTTTAACCGCTAATCATACTCCCTGACTGCCAAAACATGGATAAGTGTGAGTGATTCGGCATTGAAACCTGTTGGAATGCCTTGACGCCTTTAAACACAGTACACACAAAACAATCATGAAGACTTAGATATAGTGATGATTGTTGCCAATTCAGAATTCGGATTTGTTGTTTCCTTGCTTTCCAAGATTTGAATTTTATTGGCAAAGCATTTTTACTTCATTCCAGGATTCTTCATCAGTGCTGCTTCATGAGTTAGCGGTTTACATTATAATCCAAGGAACTACTAGTACTGTGGATATACGATTTCGTTTTGGATGTGTCAATATTAGGTGCGTAAAGTTCAACTAGCTCATACTTACACATGATGATAAATTTTTAATTTTATTGCTCAAGATCACATCAATCATTTGAACTTCTTATTCCTCGCTGTGTTTCTATTTAAGGATGCCCCGCCTCGAATAGCACTTCCTGGTCTACAAAATCTACGTACTGCTCGTGTCCTGCAAACCAATATGGTGTTGACAGTTGAGCCAGGGTGTTACTTCATTGACAGACTATTAAATCAAGCCTTATCATCGGTTACACTTAGTAAATATATTGATCGTAGTCAAATTGAAAGGTTCAGAAAATTTGGTGGGGTAAGTATTGATTCCGACATTTTTAAACTAAGTTTGTGGGTTGACCATATTGCTTTGTCTTAAATCTTCTTATCTACTTATATTTTCCAGTAATTAAGATATTTCGAAAGATTTGTGAGATAATCGTTTCTCCAAACATTTCTAACTGTTTCTCTTCTCAAGTGACATCTATTTGGCCTATTCGACGTACACTATGAGACTGGCCAATGTCAATAACTATGCCTTATGTTATAGGAAGTGAGCACCTAACGTGGTTACAAACCGGAAGAAAAGAATCGGTATTCCTGCTATGAAAATGTTTTAAACAAGACCGCTTTATATGCATATATGTTTGCGATCTCAGATTTTTGGGAGAAAGTACCTTTTACCTTCACCCCTGCCGACGCACACCCGATATCTTTGGTCGGCCTGCAAAATTTGGGCTACCGATATCCATGCTGAAAATTCCATACTTGTACCGAAAATACGGTGTGAAATCAAGCTGTAATCAAAAATTAAATTAAATATTAAAATTAAATTGGGTATAGGTCAATTGTCCTTGTGGGAAAACAAACTCACTTGTAAAATCTGCACAATATGGAATTTCCTCCCAAAACACAATATTGCAAAGATAGTGAATTTCCCGTTGTATTTCTTAGACATTTGGCACGAATTATTGAAATATGTTCCTATTAGGGTATAGTTTAAGTGACATTATTTTCGTTCACTTCATCAAAAACTACCTGACTGATAAAATTACTGCATGAATATCATCGATTCGCCACTCATGACACTGGAAATATTACCTTACTACTCACTAGGGTCCACGTATACTGTGTGGCAGTGCTTATGAAGTTGAAGTTGATGAGATCAAAAGGTTACACTACTTCATGAGGTCACTAAGTGTTGTTGAAACGTGTAACTGAACGTAAACACCGAAGAAAGGTAGTTCAGAGAGCAGGCTGTTCTCGAAGAATTCGTATTCTTTAGCTATACAATCGCACTCATACACAATTTTCCATGAGAGGCTAGTAACAAAAGTTGTCATAATCATAGTCAGTCAGTGCATAAGATGAGTTGAATAAGCGTATTGGAGCTACGTAGTAGGATAGATAATTTAACTAATGAGTTGTTTACAGGATGCACATAGAAACGAAGGAGAATATGAAATTACCTAAGAGTTGCAGAAAAATACAAGAACAGTACGGATTTGAAAAACAAACAAACAAAAATCAAGTAAGTAGAAATCAACAAGGTTGTTACAATGATAGTAGAAGTGGTTGGATGATTCTTTTTGTACACAGAGCTCCCTCCTTCTCTATCTGTATAGGTAGAGCTTCAAAAATGCAAATGAGATGAAAACGCGTTATCTGCGGCAGGTCGTCCATCACTTTGTAGATAACTTTTAAGGAGGCGTTTGTTGAGTTGGTGTGACCAGTGTTAACAAGGCGTTCGATTATCGCACTCCTGAAAGAGCCAATACTGTCTTTCACCAACCATTCGGGATATTTCTCTTGGACCCTCTCAGACAGGATACACTCCGAACGACAAAGATAACTGACTCCACAAGAACAAGTGAACTGATATATGCACAAAGAAGTGGTGAGATGTGCGATCCTTTCCTTCAGCCTTCTGCAGACCAATGGAAAACTAGAGAACACCGCTCTTAGCGTCGCTGTGAAGAATGTTCTTCTCAGATATGATGAATTTCTCCTCTTAGGGATATCACAGGTAAGTCTCCCTTGAAGTCCAAGCTCAGGTAAAAATTCATTTTTCGGCACAAGTAGACTACCTAGCTCAGATTCCACATAACTACAAGAACCAGGTGTTTCAGACTCTAGGTGATATGACACAATGACTCAAATACATCAATGCTTTGCTTTTGTGTTGACCGGATTTTGTTATATCACGATCATCATTCCATTCTTTTCTTCTTACAACACTTTACGACTTTATTTTGTTTTTTAATTTCGCATTACCCATTAGTGCCAGCATGAAGCCAAAGTGAGCGAACATAATCACCCTGAAAAACAATCTACGTATTTATACTTTCTCCCTTTTCCTTATTTACTAATTAGGTGAGAATTGAAGATAACATTGTTGTAACAGAAACCGGTCATGAGCTTCTAACAGATGTTCCTAGAACTGTAGAAGAAGTTGAAAATTGGATGTCTACCAAAGCTGAAAGTAATGGAAACATAGATTTATCTGTCTTCCAAACTTCGGTGTATGATTACTAATTGTATCAAAACTTAAAAACTGATTATTTTTCTACCTTTATTTGGTATTAATTTTCTGTTCGATGTAAAACTGATCATCGATAACGTTTGGTTTGATGAATAAGTGGTCATTTCTTCTTATCTGAATATTGCAAATTAATTAGATACGTGTGACCTTAGACAACTTGCCATATCGACCGGAATTCATCTAGTAAGAGATACATTTCAACACATTAGCATCATTGCAATGAACTGTCTAAGACATCGTAATGAAATAATCACCTTCCCAGTAATCAGTCTGTTTTTTATTGATGTAGTCTGCAAGTCTTCGCAATAACGACGAACAGTGGTGAGCGACAAAAACGAAATATATGGAGACTGCGTCAAACACCAGACAACTACTCAGGTTAATTAGGAATATACATATATGTATATATTACGTGTTTGATGTCATTTATTTCCCTACAAAGTAAGGAACTTGATTGCGTGAAATCGTATTAATACAGCTCATCACTGACTGACATTACCTGCTTACAAAACTTCATTATTACTGACCATATTATAGCACCCACACCAGAAAGTAAACACAGACACCTATGGTTAAATACAACTAGCCTCTGCATATCGTTTCTCCCAATAACAAAGAAAAACGGAGTGAACTGCTGTGCAGCACACACTTCCTTCAACGGACAGCCGGATTGCATGTCTGCGGTAAAGATAATGCAAATAGGGTAATTCAAAATGGGGCTTCTGTATCCCTGTTCAGATTTCGTCATCAGAAGTAATGCAACTCTCTAACCATTTCACCAGGAATTCTTACAGACCAGTCTTGCAGGATAATCTTACCTTTTGGGAAGGCGAATCGAATGCCAAACATAGTCAGAATTTCACCTACGGTGTTCAGAAGAATCCTAATTTTGCCAGCATGTCTCTCCAATATAACTACATTATCTGCATACCTTAAATCAAAACATTTTCCCGGTGTCAAGTCAACCATAGTCATTCACATTAATACACCGATAATTAAAAGTAAATAAAAACGGTGACAGTAGATATTACTGACGGACACTACTATTTGTTATCACTTCAGATGACAACTTTCGACAGGCTATTACATGGCTGTGAGAGTTCGAGTGAATTTGAGAACATGAGGGTGCATTTATAGTTAATTATTTCGCAAACTTCGAAAACAAGCAAATATGTTAGCATATACTCAATTCTTATATAAACTAAAGGAGTGACTGTGCTAAGGCACCTTACTGAAAAAGCTAAATGAAAGGGGAATCATCCCTGATCGTGTTAAGGTGCGTGGTAAACTGTCTTCTGATGTGTCTATGTCGGTCCACACTTTATATTTATAACTTTATTATAGATTCACTCGCTATACACAATTCTGATCAAAAAGAATCGCCCTTCAGGATCAAAATACACCAATACATTTTCCTATAAAAATTTACATGGTTCAGCATACTGGTCATGACAGTTGCATTGGAATTAAGATCAGATGAGAACAAACAAAGAGATAAACTTACTGTATACAGCCCCTAAAATCCAAAGACCTGACGTGTCTAAATGCTGTTATCTTTATAGAATCCCATGTGCGCGAGCAACTACTACTAAGGGAGGGCAGGTGTAAAGCATCAATTAAAGAAATTAGTTCAGCTGAAGTTGTTCACATTTATTGTCTGAGTTTACTGAGACTTAGATATTGTACATAAATATCCTGCTGCGTAGCGTTAGGCTGAGCATGTAGGTTGGAATGAAGAGTGGACACACGAAAAATATGACAGCTATTCACTAAGTTTCCAAGCGTTGAAGTATGGAGTACAGAATTGCTAAATGGAGCTGACATGGGAAACTTAATGTGATATGATGCATTTCCATTATTTCATCTAATATTACTCTTATTTATGACATGGTGAAAATCAAACTGGATTGCATTGTCAATAAGGTTCCTTATACTGTACAAGAAGCCAACATGTCAACCTGTGACCAAGCACTTCGATTCAATCAGTCGACGGGAAAATCTAAAATTGAATTATATACATTACTTTTTAAGGCTGAAACTTTTACTAACAGTTAATCACTTCGAAAGCCATTCGCTAGGCTACTGTATTTTACTTTCCTTACTGCTGACCTTTTACTTACTAGGATGTTTATCATCATTTTCTCAATCAGTACCAGTAATTGGTATTCCATTATGCCAAACTTGTCTTTCCTAACTGAAGTTAACATAAAGAATACAGCTATGCGATTTATACTATCGATTTTATTATAAAATAACCTCCAGTCTACCATCAGAAAAAGAACACGAGAGAGAAAAAAACTTCTGTGTATATTATATTCCAAAGGGAATATATTTTCTAAATACAATAAAAAATATTGAGGTAAAAATACAGCAGTCAAATAAGTGCCTACATATACCGTCTAAATACTGGCAGCATAAATCTAGTATACCATGGTAAACGATAATTGGACTGATAAATCAATTGGCCTAATGTAACAGGATAACAATACTTGGAAGAGAAAATATGATTTCTTTCTTCATGCAAATGTTGACTGAGTTGTTTACTGAATGTAAATACACACAATTGACTTTCAACATCTCGATTCAATGAACGATAGCTATAGTTTGAAGAACCGATAAGTGATAAGCTGTACGAAGGACTGTTCACACTATCATCACGACCGATAACTCCTTCAACCCATAGACCTTTAGCATGAAACGTCCATTCAGGTCTATGATACTCATAGATACCAAAACAATTCGATTTAACTCCAGTGTGAAATGACTGAAGTAGTTGAATAAGCGCCTCTCTATAAGCCAATGGTATGTAACCCGAAATACCGTTTGACTTCAAAAATCCATTGGCCTGAAAAGCAAAAATTATAATTTAAAAGAAACCTTCGATTTAAATGATTTGGGATTACGAGAAAAAATGAATATGTGGTAGATATGCACTACGATTAACTAAATCCAATCTTCGTTGAAATCACTTCAGTGGGTTTAAAAATTTCCATGAACAGGTGTGAAAGTTCAAGGTGTTATATTCCACAACAACGTGTAACGTGTAAACACAATGAAATAAATATAAACTAAATGGGTAAAGGGAAATAAAAAGAATATGGAAATTGAAAATAAATGTTAGGAAATAAAAATAAATACAGTTGCACTACAACAACTGATTTTGGATAATATCTTTAGAAATGAAAAAAAAGGTAATGAAAAGTCAAAGACCACACCAGTTGACACCATCTTTGTATTATAATTATTATCCTCTTGAGTTCCGGATAAAACGTAGTGTCAACAGCCCCCCCCCGCTCCATATTTGTAATCTGGCTGCATGATTGCCACTAGCCTTTATTTCCTCCTCATGATTTCGTCGACTTCACATAAGAACGCCAAACACATCGTTTCCTATTCCAATTCCCCTTGAGGGGTTGGCGCATGATGCCATCTGAATTTTCTTCATAATTGTCTGGTGATAGGAGCTTAGCTAGAACGTTGCCAATCAGATACTATTGTTGCGTATCTTTTCCCGCCAGTTATCTAAACTTCAATATAGAGTGAAGACAGATGTTGATAAAATTCTGCACCAGATTGTCGGAAATGTTTTGCTTCACGGGTGCGCCAAGTCTTTCAAACACATAGAAGCACTGATTCCACATCAGTAGATTTCCACATTGACTTATCAGTAGTAAAGATTAGTCTGGCTTTTCAGATCCCGGCTAGTTTCAAAATCTATATCCGTGCCTCCTAGCTGTACTAGAAGCTATGGTATCTGTCCAGTTAAGTGAAATAGGTGATTTCATTCAGACTTCATCCATTAGTGGTGATTGACGCTTGTTGTTGTTAGTTAGTTGAGTATCTCCATCACCTCTGTCTTCTTTATTTTCACTTGAAGTCCTGTTCTCAATGGCTGTTTCTTTTGCCAACTTGTTGGATTTCGCCTGTAGATCTTTAAGTTTGTTGATATTAGACAAAAGACACCTGCGAAGTCCAGATCTCCTTAAGTCTTTTTGTCAGTACAATGTTTGCTCATCGCCCTGCTCTCCATGGTCTCTGTCACATGAACTAGTCCAGCACATACAGGGATAATATCAATGATGGTAGGTAACCTTGCCTTATTCCTGCCTTGACTTTTAACCCTCTATTGACCTTTCCGTTGTAAATCACCAAATTGCTGTTAAATGACATTTATAAAAAGGTTTGGGGTACTACAATTTGTAGTGTTGAACCAGTTTACAACTTACTTGACAGTCAACGGTATCAAAGACGTTTTTGGAGCTTATGAAACTGATGTAATTGAGTGCTAATCGAAACTCCGGTCGATGATAACACGTAGTGCAGCGATTCAGTCCGCATATGAGTTGCTTTTTCTGAATCCAGATTGTTTTTGGGTAGAGTTTTCCACCCAGAGCATCTTTTAAGCTCTCTAGGATAACTCGGATATTTTGCTTATGGTAGACAGGAGCGACAGTGTGTCGGTGGCATAGCGGTTAGGACGCTCGCCAACCGTGCATAAGGTTCGGGGTTCGATCCCCGGCCGGCGCACTCCTTTACCTCGCTAAGCCAGTAATAAGACTGGTAAAGAGGAAAGGTTGGGCATGAGGCTAGCAACCCCATCCTGTCAAAATAAACACTGCTACAGAAACTTCAAGCCTGTACCTTGAAGCCCTATGTTCCACTAGGAACGTGAAGTAAAAAAAAGGAGCGAAGGTGTAAATCATACTTCTTTGGTAGTTTGACAAGGTTTAATTTTATTATTTATTAAATATTTATAACACAAAACGTGGTACATACAATATAACACCAAGAAGATGCGCTACACAATAATAATAAAACAACACGAGAAAAATAAAAAAATAGGTAGAGAATGAATGAAGGACTTCATCTGGGAAGAAGGCAGTTATATTTCACAAGACCAAACAGCATTGGCTGAATTATTTTCGGAAAGGGAAAAGAGAAAGAAAAAAACATGACCGGAGTCCAGGCATTTTCTCCAGAAGGAGCGGCAGTCCTTTATGCACCCTCGCCACTGGAAACTGGCGGCAATACAATCAATGAGTCCAGGCCTGATTAACAGAGGGAGGACACCAGTTAGCGTTAAGGCGGTAGCTATGCCGGAAGTTACTGCTGGCTAGAAAAAAGGGATGATTTTCACAAAGCTGCAGAAAACGGTCTCCATTATCTGACCCGCGACCGTGTATCCCCACTGACCATCTGGACGACTCTCCTCTGCGCCTAGACCCCCAACCTGTGCATTCAAGTCCCCAGCCAACACTACGATGTCCCTCTGGCGCACCAGTTTCAGTGGATCGCTCAACTGGTTGTAGAACTCATCCTTAATTGCATCCGGGCTGCAATCCGTCATTGCATAAACAGAGACAACAAATAGGCACCGCCTATCTGGTTTACCGCTTCTTAATCTCGTATAACCTTCCAGCCTCACGGTGCATAAACGACTGTTAATGTGGATCGAGTCGAGTAATACAGCTTCGGCTTTAGCACTTAATGAGACACGGCCACCAGCTACGCCAGATGCCAACGCCACAGGGTCCACGGACAAGCGCCAGTGGTACACACTATTCGAACTTTCAGATGGAGAAGATAATGAAAGCACTTCACTGGGATCTTGAATCCAGGCCTCCGAAGTGCAGCAGACATTGTTAGCGAGGTTTCCCAATGTTCTCACCAGACCTACCGATTTGCATCAGTGTCCTAACATTGTATGTGGCAAGCCTGAACTCGGCTTCAGGATATCTGTGTTAGGTGTCCACTGGGGACACCCATTTTGAAGACTACTAGCTTACATCTCGAAACGGTACATATAGCTTGGGAATTCAGAAAAAGGCGAAAGGCTGACGAAAGTGAAGACGCCAAGGATAGCAGAAGTAAAACACAGGAATATATATATAAAAATAAGGTTGAGAAGAAATGCGTCACTTGAAATATTATTAATGTCCTAAAGATTTGTAAAGAGCGTTCGATTGGTTCCACTGATAGTTCGTTGTTCAATTTCATTGACTGTGTGTGGGCTGAGATACTGCCCGGGCGCCCAGACCTTATTTTACATTATATCCGCCGATTAAAGGAGAGTATGCTTGTGGTGAGAGCTGGCTGCTAACCAAAGTTGGTAGACGGTAATTGACGTCAATGTTTATGTCCCCAATATTGGTGGTGAGAAAATGAGAACAAAGGCTTTGCGTAGGCGGATACAGTTAGCATATGGATGACCTGACACAGCCACAAAGAGATGCAAGGTTAACTTTCTGTGAGAAACAACCAATCAAAAGACTGTATTTTCTACTAACAATCTACAATAATGTATATGAAAATCTATAAATATGTGTTGATTTTCCTTGATAAACGATCTGTTGCCTGGCCCTTGTCTTCTGTTGTTACATGCTTACTATACAAACCGTGGTTGAAGCAATAAATACGTTCAAAACAAAAGTGACTAACAATTAAAAGTGTAAATGTTAGTTCGTCCTCGAAATTGATCCAAAAACACCAAAATTGTTAATTGAGAAATAAATGATTTAGACAAATTACCGTAGGTGAAGCACACAAGAGATTCACTGTTGAGCCCTGATTGAACTTCACCATGTCAACGAATAACTTTTCATATGACTTTGTCAAATTGAAATAACCAGAAGCTAGAAATAATTTGATGGAGGAATGAACCTGATTGGTAAAATACTTGAATAAACGTTGCATAAAATCTTCTTCAAAACGAATATTACAATGTCCATACTGAAGTAAAGGGATTATATAAGTATCTTTTGTTGACGAAGTATCCATATTACAGCTTTCTTCATATTTCCTCTTAAAGAAACTGGTTAAAGCATTGTGAAGTTTCTGTCGAAAGACAAATGAACTAGCTGTAACAAAGAAAAATTATGAGAATTGGCACATTGAATATCATTACCAGCGCCATGCTGCTAGAAAATAAGGAATGGCTTTTACTCTTAGGGTTACAGTCAGACAGTTTTTAAGCACAAGCTTTTACTTTGAATTTTCACTGAACTTCATTTATCATTTTCAAACAGTGACCTGATCTTCCCGATTAGAACTACTGAGGTTAATCTCTTTGTCAAAAGGATGATGGATTCTGAAAGGTACACTAAAAGACCAATAGTAAAATACCTAAACATCAGAATCCACCATAATTCTGCACGGACATTTAAATGTTAACATGCTTTTCTGTCTCTCTGAATCATGTCGGGAGATACATATTTGTTGCCTGATCAGATCCCTAGGGTAATTAAATATCAACCAACAGAAATTCGTAGCGTAGTAAAACCCACCATTTGTTCTTTTTCTGAGTGCTGTGCAGAAGAGTGGGAACTTAAAATGATATACCTCTCTTTGAAGGGCTAATTAACGACTTTTCCATTTGTGGTTCTTTAAGCCCAAAAGCTTGAGGTTATTTATCAGCTGAATTTAAATAGATCCACTGATTATCTATCTCTATGGTTAACTAAAAGTATAATTGTAGAACAATAATGAAGTAAAATACGCTGAACGAAGGATGGCACTTATGCTAGCGACAGCTGCCGATATAACTCAGATTTTTTGTGTATCACGATGAGCCACACACTGGTTGTGTGATGACTGATGATACCATTCAGCTCCCTAGTGTGAAGCAGGTGGTGGGGAGATCCGTTCACACAGGACCCATTAGCTGAAAGTTGAATGCATAGGCCAAAGACTCACATCTCTACTCGTGCTCAGCTTATTCACGCGGAGAATATCAAAATTATAGAGTTAATGGGTAAAAATGAATAAAAAACAGGAATACTACTTGAAAATACTAACCTGAGAGAATATCTTTTTTATTAGCTGTTACACTACCATCTGGGCGAAGGGAATAGCAAAATTGACTAATTACATGTACAAGATCAGAATAGAAATTGGCTAAATCGGGTATATTCTTAAATATCCATGTTCTGTCTTGTCGACTTGTAAAATATTCATGACTTAAATTTGCACTGATTTTGAAAAATGAATAAATATGGGATAAAAAACAATGAAACAACTAGCTTAAAAAATTACAATGAAGTCGTTTATTTAAAGGTTTTAAATAAAGTCTAGAGATTTCATAGAATGGAATTGTGGCTTTTACTTTTGTTAATGCTGACTAATTGCCGCAAACTTGACGTGGTGGTCGGGCTTGCATATCGCAATGACCCAACAAGCCACACTGACTGGGACTAATGTTTCTTCAGGTCCTACCATGCCAGGAAGATTGTTAGGAAAGCGATTAGACTAAGAGCAATTACTGGAATAGTGTAAAATTTCTTACACTATTCTGGGGGTCTATGGGCAAAGTCGTAGTGCTAGGGAATAAGGATGTTACAGCAGTAAGGTGTTTCCCTCAGATGACAGGCATGTCAACTAGCTATGCTCTTTCCTCTCTTGGAAAAGAGCTAGTGGTGGCGTGTGGTCAAACCGAAACATGGCCTCATCAGTCAATGAAATCCACAACAGTTAGTTTGAGCCTGCCACATAGGAATATAAGTATAAAACTTGGGCACTGTGATAGAGTATTACTCCATCATATATAAGATTTTATTTTGATAAATCACACAGTGTTAAACTGATAACAGTTAATATTACTGTATAACACTGTGTGATTTATCAAAATAAAATCTTATATATGATGGAGTGCCAAATAGGGAGCTGTAGACTCCCTGACTGGTTGGGATCCTCGGGATGGTAAAAACCAATGAAGGCAAGAGACAATGGGCGATATGGCTCAAAATCGTTCTTGGTGGGTGGCTCAGGTGCATCTACTCTCTGTGACTTATAATACCCAATAAAACTATTGTTCCTCCATATTACTATCTCTGTTTACTGTCTCTATTTTGCATTTCTTTTTACTTTCTTCGTTTGCTTTGTGTACTATATGGGGTGTGGCAACTCGAACTGCTGTACATCTGTGCAAATTTCTACCCTGAAACTAGTCACTCAGTCAGGTGTAAAAAAATAGTTCCATTGTGGGATAATTTTTTTTTTTGATAAGGTCTCACAGTGTTATACAGTAATATTTACTGATGACGTTTCGAGTATGAGGAGTTGGAAAACACTCTCACACTAATTAATGATATTCACTAACTAGATTAAAGTGATTTAAACACCGGATAACTATGTAAACAACAAGAAAAAATATAATCATAATCAACGCACCGTATAGCCGACTTACGCGTTTGTGGTTGATCTACATTCGGACTTCGCTCAGACAGCCAAATACTTGGAACTACTTGAATAACTAAACACCTATTTGAGTCGATTGAAAGCATACATAGCATTGCTGCTTAACATGAATGATCTCGAACTACGTACATCAGAAGGCAGAAACCATTCAGGAAACGGATTAATGAACATTTACGCTGTACTAATCTTTCATATTCCTTTCTACCATCACTCATTCTGTTTCACTCTTATACTGGTCAAAACTCTATTGATTCTCTTCACTCATCTTCTTGTCTACCTTTGTGTGCTATTTGGAACGTGGCAACTCGAACTGCAGCACTTCGGTGACAAGTTCTATGTTGAATCCAGACAGACAGACAGACTAATAGCAACGAGCAGTCACAGACTAACAAATGACTAAATAATATGATCTTTTTACAAAAGCCAGTATTGTGAACCATATTTTACAATTTCAGATTTTATTGCATTCTTCCAAATTACTTACACGATTACAATTCATACAGTTCCCTAGTCAGCAAGGTTGAAAAATCCACCTGAAGGTTGTCTAAAGTTAATGACCGGCAGTCGATGGTAGTGCATAAGAGTAGTGGATATGACAATTAGTGCATACGTGCACACTGCCACCCGAATTAAAACTTAGTGACTCAGTGGTATTGTTTTTTGTTTGTCATTTGACAGTCCCAGTGGAGCCGTACTTTAACACCACTAAGGAATCTTGAAGCAAGAGAATACAATAGCCCAGTGCTCTTTGAGTTTCTGAGGTTTTCAAATTGATGTTGATTAGTGAAATCTACCTTCATAGTAATAATTATCAGAGGTTATTCTCCTGACAGTAATTCTTTTTCATTAATTTAATGGTCTTCAACAAAAACTAAAATGGCCTATGAATGCTGATCATTCAAACTGAAGTGATTGTGACTACCTGATAAAACAATATAGAACTTACAAAGATATGCATGCATTCAAGTTGTTATGTTTCAAGAGAGCATACAAAAAACAAAAGAACAGAGATGACGTTCAGAATTTCGAAGATGGTAAAAAGTGAACACAACTAATTTGTCGTGAATGATTTTGAGCGATATCACAACCACTGATTGTTACATCCAAACAGCATACACATCTACTTAAAAGGCTCGGATTAGAAATCAATGGCTTAGTGCTCTGGTGCTGCTTTAGTTCAGAAAACAAGAATTAAATAGAATGCAACATGTTTTGATTTCTATTCTGCAGACATCCACAAACCATAAAAATATCACTGATTAATACAACGCATTAGGCCAGCAAAACAGCGAACAATATACTTGATATGTTTATGGATAACATTACGGAGTGAAGAAATCAGCGCCATGAAAATCTCTGTCAACCGAAATTGTCAATCTATTCCTAAAAGCAATTATTCACCACGGAGACACTTCCAAAAAGGAAGTATCAACAACAATGAGTAAACTTGTTTTGTCTCGGTTATTCAGCTCTATTCATCACTGTGATAAAGGGACTTCGCCAGTAAGTTACGCAAGTCACTACTGATAGCTGTATATATATATATATATATATATATATATTGACAGAATTTAACCAATGACTTCTAAACCTACCCACTCATAATAAGTGAATCATCAAAGACATATGCTTTGATATGTTGAACACCGAATATTTCATTCCAACGATTAGGCAGCAAATATTTGATCCATTTATAAGCAGAAGGATGTCTGTAGAGTAAAATGGATACATCAGGTAGGGTAGTCAAGGGAGCCAAAAAGTGACATGAAGAGTATGGGACAGGTTCTAAAAGATTTCTAGTGGACGAAGAAATACCTGTGTCGCCTATACCTGAATAGTATTTAGTCGTAAGAGTGGGTCGTAAACCACGAGTAGCATCCATTAAAATGGTAAGTTTCACATTTCTCTCACGAACGGCTTTTGTAAGCGCAGTAACCTAGAATACAGAAGAAATATGTGTATTAACTGAAGAACACACTAATAGATATGAATCACAATGACAATTCAATAAGTAAAAGCAAAGTAGGAATAACTTCTTGCCTAAACTGTAAAATACAATCCTTAGAAAATATGTATTCGCGAAAATCTGCCAAAAACATCAACAGGAAGCAATTAATTTTAACTCTTAATAAGTCTCCTATATCATAAAAAGGACTAAAATAAGTGCAAAACGTCAAAGTCGTTTATTGGTAAACAAAAATATGATTTCATACATTTATTCCTCTCAATGAATTCGAATAAAGTAAAAACAACAGTTTTTGTAGAATAAAAATGGTACCATCATTTATTTCGTTGGCTTCTCATCATCTGCTTGCAGCCCAAAGACATTATTAAGTTATCTACAAACATAATTCTAGCGTACTTGCATATATATATATACTCCAAGTAAGAGAGTTCACAAAAGGTTGAGTGGAAATACTATGCAATTTGTCACATCCAAGAGCTTTTTTATTTCTATCGAAATGGAATACTGTTAAGCGGAATTTGAGCTCCGATAATTCGAGCCTTATAGAAGATAACCTACGCTATATAGACAACCGTAAAGTACCAGTTATCCAAATGTTTCTAAATACATTATTATCTGTTTTTCATTTCTGACTTGCTCCTCAGAAATGACGTGGTAAGACCAAAGGTGGATAAACTTAGGTATTTCCCTCGAAATGCTTTCATAAGTTCAGTCTCTGCCGGGGACTGGCATCGCACTCCTATTTACAGTCTTCACACAGTGGAGATTATTCTTACAAAAATGAAATGAAAATGCAAATGTTCACCAGTTACTACCGAACAGGTGAACAAGAATAGGGACACCTGAAACCATGAGAACAAGGTGACTGATATCGATCTGCTGCCTTAGGGATCAGATTTATAGTCAAACGCATAGAGGACGATTTTTCAAGATACCCATTTGCTTAGGTTTAGGCGTAATCAGATGCCTCAGGGAAAAACATGAAAATACACATTATTGAGAAACTCAACTAATCTCAAAGCTTTCGCAAACTACTACACTAATCATATTTTCACTTATTTGATGTATCGCCATTATATTTTTATTCTAGTGCATAAACTACTTTGTTTTATTCGTATCGTTCTTACTTTTTCAGTATCTTTACTCTCCCCAGCTGTTTGCTGTTGTTTAAAACCTCAGCCTATTTGTACTATTTCGATACCCTGGTTAGCTATTTCAAAAGCTAACCTCTAGTGACATATCTAATAGCTATTTTGACACCATCTGTCGTATTGACGTTTGCCTCTCACAACACTCGACCATTGATTCAGAATAGACAGCAGACAAGTCTGATCAGAACTCGGAGAAGGTTATGTTAGTGCGTACTGCGTCTTACTGAAGTGCATCGAATATACTCCACCTACAGTCCCGATATTGTGTTCCATGAGCGCATATCGTCGGAACACGTGACATCAGCGACCAGCTTAGTTAGTATCGGTGTCGCACTAAGTGCTAGAAACGAAGCTGCATTAAGCGACTGGACCCCATTAACAGCCATTTATGTACTGTTAGGCTAGGTCGTACCGCAGTAAGAAATAACTGGCTAGAATAGTGCTGCTATTTCGTGATATCTGCTTGTACACTAAAGCCTTGAAGCCTGGATACAATTAAGGATAATTTCTATAATCGAGCGTGTGCGTCCAACAGATATCGCAGTGCAAGTAGGGGAATTGAAGTAATAGGTCGGGTGTCTAGGCTCACAGGAGAGAAGTTTGGGTGGTCAGTGGTGGCTGAGTGTCTGCAAGGCAGGTAAAAGAAAGTCTCACAGCCTCTGAAAGTAACATAAAATTGTTATCATTTGCTGTTCCCTATTCACTTCTTTTCCCTTTGTTTTATCATTCTTGTGCGATGCATCTCTAAGTAGTGTCTATAACATTTCACCGTGTTCCCTATGTTATCCCTGACCCCTCTTTATACTGTATCGATTAGTACACATTCAAGTGTGTGGCTACTTACTTAATTGCACCTGATCGATGTGATAATTTCCATAAATCCGCTGAAATAGGGTTCTGGACGAATTTTAGAGAAGGTAATTTACTGATTCCAGTCGACATTCCTATAAGTTATTTTTCAGGTAAATGGATCTGTAGGAATTAGGAATAACTGTGGTCCTAAACTATACATATTTTTAATTGCTGCCTACATATCAGTTAAAGTTTGAGTGATGTAAAAGAGTTATTTTGAGAATGTTTCATATGCTTTTCACACTTTTCCAATCTAAAAAGGTGCTTCAGGACTAGCAAGCATCGGTATCACTACTTAATAACAAACAGTGGGATGGTTGAGATTAACATTAGCCCAGACTGGTTGGAGATTAAGGAAGCATGCAGTAGATATAAGAGGCCCATCCAAATTTTATCACACTCAGGATTAATAAAATTAACTGCTAAGGGTTAAGCTTACTGAGCAGAACTCATACTTTACAGTTTTGAAATACGACTAAAAGATTAGAAACAAGTTCAGGCATTTAGCTAACCTGGTCTTCCTAGGAACACCTGTGGTGAAATCACAGGGTGAGCGATGCAATAGTTAGGTAAGAGGGACCAATCATTTGATGAGGTTATGGAACTTCTATGGTTAAAACCCCTCAGTCATGAGCCACAGAGAGAATTTCGGTCTCAGCATAGCAAGGAAGAGTAAGTAGCATGGCTGAAGTATACAAGACAGTCGAAACTGAAAGCTATTCACCGTCTGTGGTGTGATTCATGACGGGATAGTGGCATGAGTGCCTATAAACTTTGCGTTCATTTGGCTTCTAATGTGTGTTTATTTATTTGTCCCATATTTACTTGTCTCACCTCATGGTGTTCTATCACTTCTGATCGCAGATTAGTTACTTCATCTTGTTTTAGGATTGCACACATGTGAAGTGTGTCTTAATAGCCTGAATTGAAGCCAGCTGATGTATGCATGTTTATACAGGTAGTAACAAGCTCAACCTATTGTGAGATTTAACAGCGGAGAGTAATCCAACAGTTTAAAATCTGGAGCTAATACTCATTAGCCACAACTTTGCTATATCAGGCACAGCCATAATTTACAGTATACGGGGAGGAAAATTGAAAAACATTTTACATCCAAATTATAGAATCACTTACTAACTCAGTTTCGAGTGTACCTGTCCCAATATATAAAGTTGATAAAATGATCCGTTTATTCGCGCTACCAATATGATCCTATTGAGAGAAAAATAAAGAAATAGGCGAGTAGAAAAATAACAGAAAGCAGTGAAGGCAAACCAACAGTGTGTTGTCCAACGGTTCACATCACCTATTGCATAATCATCAAAAAATTAGGAACTGGTGAACAATGAATAAAGGTGGTGGTCGACAACTGTTAAAAGGTGAGCAAATCTTTCATACTGTGCAAAGAAGACTTTGTGCTGCATAGTAATATCGCTTATCAAAACTACTAATCGAAACCTAACTACTAATTTCGCCCCTCAATGAATATACTAGATTAGGCATTGCGTTGCAGAAATAAAGTTGTCACTCTCCACTGACTGCTCCGGAAAACCTGGAAGTCAGGAAGCTGTGCGTAAGAGCGTACATGATACTGAGGCAACACCAACGAGATCTCAAGTTAAAAGCTGACACTTCATTCTTTCCTATTTAAGATTCAGTCATCATCAAACATCAAAGCTGCACATTTGCTTTCACTTCCTAATGGTATAAAGATGAGCGCACAACTAAGCAGTTCCAATCTTGAACCTAATAACTGGTAACCAGCACCCATTTTTCAATCCATTTATGAAGCTCTCATGCTTTTGAATTTATTTCGATAAAATGTATTTGTACGCTTTCCTGAAAAAACTAGCATATATTATGCAGAAACATTGCAACAATCATTGAGTTTCCTATTTTTATGCATCAAGGTTAAATGATGTGATGTAGTAAAAAGAATTACGAGCAGTTTAAGAGTAGAAAATTAGGGCCGTAAGATGTTACCTTCAGAGTAGATGAAGATCTCCAGAAAGGTACACGGATAGACCTTCTTCAAATTGAGAAAGCTAGGACGATCCATATTCTGCACGTTGAACTCTACATGTGTAAAGGTTTGTTGAGTTATCAGATTTGTAAAGCATTTCATATTTGATAGCTTATCTGCTGTCATAATTGCCTTTTTATCACTTATCTTTCTACCACACAATCTTAATTTTCCATTGTTCAACTTCATTCACATGGTCCAACTTAGTTCCCTAATAGTCGAGATATAACCTACTGAATTAGGTATTCGACTTACAGCTGATGGGCTACATGGAAAATCATTAACAGAATTTCAACTTAATTTAGCTTTGGCTATAACAAATCTTTATCGGCGAGGTTAGATGTTATAACATTGGATTGGTAAAATGATACTTATGCAATGAAAATCCAGTCGGCAGCTCAGTAGGTAGAGGACATTGGTTCGAATCCTGTCGCAATTCAGACTTTCATCTCACATTCAGTTACCAATATTCTTAAATAAAGTGATTTCTTTTGAGCGTCAATTGAAGCCAAATTTCTGTTAACTTATATTTGAAAATAATATTTAATACATATCAGATTGTACAGCTGGAGAACGAGTAGTTGGAAAACGTTACCTTTTGCCGAATACATTTTATAAAAATAATGAGGATGTTTTAATTACTTCTATGTATGTTTTTTATACTCAAACTTCATTCTTATCAGTCGGTTTATATGGACTACGTAAACATAAGTTTATATTGACATTACTTTCACAATGGTGCCATTTTCTCCATGAAGTGTATAAACCGACATAGGTCGATCAACTGGGTATTTACAGAAATAGAAAATAATATTAACAGATACCTTTGCAGTAACACTGGAATTCCACTGAAAATATTATCGCTAAATGAAATGCAGGTATACCTATATAACAAAACGCTCATCACAGCTACCCCCACTAACTTTCCTCAAAAGAATATACCCACTCACTACTGAACTAACATTCCATTGAATGCCATATCACCCATGTCAGTAGAAGAAAAGCGTTATGAATTTAACCACTGGCCATAATCCCACTTCACTATTGCCTAATGTAGTAGTATGCATAGAAATAACACTGAGTTTGGATATCTCGTTTTACGAATAGGTTTGCATCGACAAGATGAATAAGTACTCTAGAAATTTACATGTCTATCCTATGTAAGACACAATATGCCACGGAGCTATTAACATTTTTCGCTCGTTATCAATGCCTCCCTAAGTGATTCATGACACCCAGTACAACCGATTCAATATTAGAAACACAACGCCTTCTTACTGGTTCTTCCCATTAAGCACGTGTTTACACAATTGTTAAACAACAAAACTGTCAGAAGACTTCGTGCAATGTAATCGGATAATTTAGATTTCATAAACAGATGTGATGGCTTTAATGCAACAATGTCAGTGATAAATAACCCCGGAAAATAGGAACTTTAAGTGGAACGACTGAGCTGCTTTCACTAAGATATCATTTTGACTAAGTTCACTAATGAAAGACCATAAGTCATAGTCAGGAAATATGTAAGGAAATGTAAAAATAAAATAAATAATAATGATAGTGATAATAACAATAATAATGATAATAGTGATAATAATAATAATAATATTAATGACGATACCAACAATAGGGAATCTAAATCATCAGTAGTAATTCCATACAAGGAAGGAACCTCAGAAGCTTTACGCAGAATTCTCAACAAGGCAGGAATAAAAACGGCATTCAAACCCACAAACTCAATTAGAAACAAGCTTTGTCGGCTAAAGGATCCTATAGAGCCTTTAAAACAAAACAATTTAGTTTATCTAATACCCTGCAATGATTGTCAGGTCAAATACATAGGTCAAACTAGTAGAACAGGGGCAGTCAGACTAGCTGAACATAAAAACTTAGCAAAATCTAGATTGGTTGACCCGAATAAAATAAGAAATCTAGAGAATAGTTCAGCTATACCACTATATGCAGTCACACACAACCATACAATAGGATGGGATAGGATGACAGTTTTAAAATCTAATGTCACAGGGTATAGGGAGAGACTGATAACAGAAGCTTTGTTTATTGAATCAACTGCAAATACATGTAATAGGAATGATTCATCACCTGTCCCCGATATATGGAAAATTCTACTCCCCCTACGACAAATTGGAGAAAACAAAGAAAGCTATAAAACTCAAGTGTCAAAGTCGTGTGATCACAATTGATATGATTATGAACAATAAATTTTGTTCGAAACGTCATCCAGTAAATAATACTGATTCACTGTGTGATATACCTAATAAACAAACTAATATGGAATTCACTAATGAAACTTGGATGTAATTGCAAAGATGGCCAACTTAGCAAAATAAAATGGCGTGATAAGTTGAAACAGAAGATAATTACGCGTGTAAACCAACTGCAGTAAACTAAAGATACGGAACTCAGCAGACAAAACATAATCAGCACAAAACTAGCCAATCCTCACCTTCCCATAAATCATAAGTACCTCATTATCCCATATTTACATATTTTATTTGCCCATATCTTAAATTTTAGCTTCCCATTACGACTTATCTAATTACTAATTCAATTGCCGTTTTACAACTTGACAATTTAATAATAAGTTATTCTCAACTGTTTGTACGCGAGGGAAACAATACACTGTGTCAAATTTACAACTAGAGTAAATCATCTATGAGACATTTTCCCTTAACTCTTCTATCAGCTTTGGCGAAATTAAATAATATAAAGGAAGCTAATGTCCCACACTTGACTTTGCAATTAACTAGGAACACGTACGTGATCTGCCAAATGCTACATGAATTCATTCCAAGGGAACGGATAATGAATCATTCTATGATTATCGACATAAGTGATTTTACACAAGGTTACAGTTCAACTACTTACCATTTGAGTATTAAAAAAACAAACATATAATATATATATATATATGAATTCATTAGCAGTTCAATATCTCGTTATCAACTAGTATCGCTCAGATAGCCTCTAACTTATTCATCACTTCCTCGCTATGACAAATAGTTGCTACTGTCCTAAGATGGTGCAATGGGTCTACCAGGAATTGAATTATATGTTGTTCTTACCTGATACTCCTAGAAGCTGTATGCGTTGCCATGTGAAAATTATTGATGTTTCCTACAACCTATGTACACAAACGGTATGATTACACACATAAATTTATTCAGCAAGACAAGTGGTGGTGAGTTTGTTTGTGATATATCCAGTCGACTGCGCCAAAGGCTTACACGCTTCATTAATGTGAGGACACTGGATGACATCTATGCTTACCGTCGTAACAAAGAATGCAACTGCCTAGAACATCTACTCAAATCTGAGTGCAATAAACAACATACTTCTTTGCCAAAATTTCCTTCAACTGATTTAGTAAATATCCTGCCCAGCAATTCTCGCATTGCTTTGAGAAATTATGTTAAACAAAAAAGTTATTCAAGTATTGGTTTGTAGGGATTTGGTTGATTGGTTACAGGATTTCATCATGAGCTGACATTGGTTAGAGAACCATTGGAAAACCTGGGAGTACTGGACGGCTGTTTCGTCCTATTTTATTTATTTTTTGATTTACAGCTTGATTCCACACCGTATTTTCAGTACAAGTGTGGAATTTTCAGCATGGATATCGGTAGCCCAAATTCAGGCCGACCATAGATATCGGGTGTGTCGGGCGGGGATCGAACCCCGGACCATGTGCATGGTCGACGAGAGTCCTAACCACTGTGCCACCGACTCTTCAGCAGTACCGGGGTTCGAACACAGGACCTTCTGGTTACATGACGAGCTCGCATACCATTAACCACTGGGACCCGATCCAATGGCCTATGAATTCTAACTTCTGCCAATTCACGATATAGCGCAACCGCTAGCCAATGTCTTCGGCGAGTATTTGTTCTCACACCCGACCTGCTGCACCCTACTGGTCACGACTTCCCACTGGAACCCCAGGTAACTACCTACCTGAATAGGGCAAGTCGCTAGTGAGCATCTCACTGATATTCAAGTATTGGATTGTAGGGATTTGGCTGATTGGTTAGAGGTGACAAGTTATTCCTTTACGTCATCATGAGGCAGTTAAGACAAAAACTCATTTGCGTCTAGTATGTTTTCAAAGAATTAAATTTAGCTGCTGAACCTATATCAAAGAGTGATCATAAATCGTTAAGTCACAGAAATTCAGCTGTTACGAATGAAAGAATATTGGAGTCCCATTCAAGCACAACACTGAATTTACAGTCCAATATCAACGTGGATGAAATGTTAGTGTGAATTAAGATGACTTTAATGCAAACCGATGATAGAGAGGAAGAAAACGGAGACTCGAAGATGAATACACGTCTGTAATTCATTATAGTGGTTGCAGAAATATGACAGGTACATCTGCACTAGTCAGTATTTCCTATTGTTAGACGTTGGAACTCGATGTTTGAATTTCAAGAAAGCATACATTCCGACCAAGCCAGTTTCTGTTTTATATTCTACATTTACCGAATGTGATTCTCGCAGATCTGGAAACAAGTCAACACAAAAGTCTTGTGTGATATCGTCAACATTGTGGTGCTTCTTTTCACTGGTTAACTGCGACCATCTTCCTCAAATCGCTTCTAATCAAAAGACGCAAGAAATGCACGATTTTATCGAAATGCGTCTAACATTACGAAATCTTCAGCTTTGACTGATGAAAACAATAACTATCGCGATTACTCTCGCAATGAAAATATGGTGTTAGCAAGTTATCATTCTAGTTGCTCTCATATTTGAAGAAGGATAGACATTTCAAGTAGACAGTCAGAGAGCAAGTAGTCATTTATAGTGCAACCTTGACATTCCTTCACAGATTCATACAAATGTTAAGAAACGTATTTAATAGCCACGTAAACTAGTTAAAAATTTTGCTAGCTTTTGAATAATAAGGGAATCGATGTGGAACTTTGCACAAAAGTGCACTAGTTTAAGCTGCTGCATTTCAGAAAAGCACACAGAATGAAAGAAAAAAATGCAGTGACATTATAACAGATAACGAAGAGGATAATTGAATAAAGTCGAAAGTGAAACTTTATAGAAGCCAGAAGAAAACAGGAAGTTGCTAAATACCAAACATGTATGCTATTTCTGTTGTGATATCTCGTCAATCCATCGGGACTGTGCAACTCCTTAAATAAACGCAGTGGTCATCACACCTAAATACCACATATGCTGGTATTAAAACAAGACTCAAGGCAGACTAGTCTTGTAGAATCATGAAAGACGTGCCCAGATTTTTACCTGCGTTTTTCGGATGACTGTATATTGTCAACATCTTTACCAAAAAAGAGTGTATCATCTGAGCAAACAAGACTTTCGCTTTTCCGTTTTATAAACTGGAGCCACTCAGTACTGCTGCTGTCTCATTCAAGATTTAAAACGCTCTTTGAAACTTCGGTTAAAGTTGTACAAAAGCAGATCTAGTTATGAAATTTGAGAAACAATGTATCTTATGCCCTTCAGAGTAAGTTCACTCAACAAGAAAGAATGAAAAACAATTTTGACATGAAGAAACTCCAAGATATTTCTAGTATGACCACGGTCAAATCATCTGACAGATAGAGGAACAAACACAATACAGCTTTCGTTTATTTTTGATTGGACACTAGTCAGGTAATCGGCAGGAAGCCCTGGACCTAGGTTTCGTGCTAGTTGGCACTCTTCAGCAAGGCGTATTTGCAACTAAAGATAGGACTAGACACATTAGTATCCAGTACAGTCCTACAGTAGGCCAATCGCCAGCCCAAATAGCTTAGTGGTACCGTCTCTGACTGCAGCGATGGGTGACGCGGGTTCGAATCTCAGAATGGACATGAGTTCCTTCAAGGTTGCAGATACACCTTGCTTACTTGTGAGTGCCAACTAGCACGAAACCTAGGTCCAAGGCTACTTGCAGATTACCTACAACCATCTAATACCAACATATTTCGTTTAAATCAACGCTGAAATTCTTTAAAAGCGCAAAGACACAAATTAATTAAGTACACAACATGTGCTACAAATAAATCCACAAAAGAATAAGTGCGAACTGCACTCTGAATAAACGAGAGGTTCAACAATGTGAAGTGATACAAAAGTACATACCAGTAAACCATGAAAAAACTCTTGTGGAGTCGTCAGAACTTTGATTTGTTCAGAGTTAACGTGGTATACTGGAAGCTTCAAGTTCCAAATGAATTGTAATATTGTGGAGCACTATGGTGAATAAAAAGTGAAAGCTTAAGTAGCATAATTAATTAAACCTGAGAAGGTGAAGGCATGTGGGGAATATTCCAATTTATTTGTACAAACAAGTGAGCTTAAATAATGTACAGGGAAATGAAAGTCTCAAGTTTGCATAGAAGGCCTGACACGTTTAGCAGTTAATAATGTTCTCTCATCAGCAAAACCAAGGGACCCCCTTTGCAGTTCGATGAAGTCATCCGTCTTCATTTTTTTCCCACTAATCGGGTCAATCATCTCTTTTTTTATCACAGTATCCACGACTTCTTTAGTGACAACCGCACCAGAAGTCTTAAGAACAACACAAACAGTTGCGTTTGTAAGTGGATCTTTGGAAACTGCACAACAATATTTAACTTCGCGGTTCGTTGGTTTAGCCTGACTGAACCCCATGACTTCAGAATCATCTTCAAAGTTGGTGAACTTTACACCGACTAGATCTTTGTACTTCAGTGGTTTGCCGCTCATCGGACAGCGTACAATTTTGTCAGGTTCACTCATAAGTTCCTTGTCAAACTTCTGATCTGATGTGCCAGCGGGAGCCCAAAAACAGGAACTCTTTTCAGCCACACCACTGCGTTTATGGGATAGGGAGGCGAGAGCCTCTGCTTCAGCTGCTTGTGCAGACGCTTGTGAATGAGTGTCTAAAGTATTCAGTGATAAAAAGCGTCGGGCTACTTCTTCTTTTTCGGCCTTGATGAACAATTTAGCCTCAGCATCTAGACGAGCTTTCTGTTTTTCATACAGTTTAATTTTTCGTTGTATCTCAGCTTTCTGACTAACAATATATTCCAAGATAACTGCTCGGTCATAAAGGAATCCATCAGTTGTAACCACAGGATCTTTTGCTGGCTGCAGAGAAAGACAGCAACAATCAAGAGCTTTCACTGAATCCTTTCCCAAACGGATTTCCTGTGTACCAAAGCCTGATCTGCGAGCATCATTTTTCCTCTCGTAATATGTATAAACAGTATGAGCAGTACAGTTTTTAGAGTGGCGCGTCATAAATTATCTGAAAAGGTGAATAAAGATGAATCACTCTTGAGTATATATTAAGATAAATAATTCAAAGAATACAAACTTTAAGTATTAGGCATCTACAATTAATTCGTCAAGTAGGTCGAGTGAATTTCATTATGCGTAAAATTTATTTTGATAAAGTCTCACAGTGTTATACAGTAAATAAATACATAATGGAATTACACTCTACCACAGTGCACAAGTTTTATTCTTATTGGTCGAGTGCAATTAATTGTACGATACAGGTGGCAACTATCCTGTGAAGACCATTACAGTAACCCGGTTAGCTAAACGTTTGAGTGTGACTCAGTTTCAGGTTGAGCATCCGACATCATTAGATACAATCCTAGCTTTAGGTTGATGCACAGAGCAAACTGCCATTAAAGTACAGAATCATAAGACACGCACAAAAACAAGAAATCAATACAAAAAATGCAAAACAGTAACACTATCCAAAAGAAAACACCTACTATTAACCTGATAATAATAATAATCTGAGAAATGACACTGAGCACTGTCTGAAGGACTGCTTTCAAAGTAGAACTTTGCACTGATGTGCAGCAGTTCGAGTTGCCACACTGCATATTAACTGTTATCAGTTAATATTACTGTATAACACGGTGATTAATCCAAATAAAATCTTACCTATGATGGAGTAATACTCTATCAGAGTGCCCAAGTTTTATACTTATATCCCTATGTGGCAGGCTCAATCTAACTGTTGTGGATATCACTGACTGATGAGGCCATGTTTTTGGTTTGACCACCACCGCCACTAGCTCTTTTCTAACCTGATCCTATGTCAGCTAACATTGCCCGTCTAGGACAGTGATCGATGGCTAGCCATGCACAACACATGTCCTAACCACCTCAATCGGTGTAACTCCACAACCTCGCCGATTTATCTCCCCTCCTTACCTAGCACTCGACTGATGCCTCACCTCAATATTGCTCACCCTATTATGCTGCTTAACACAGGGTAGAGAACACAGGCACCTATGGTGAAAGACAGTTAGCCAGGCTTTTCATGTCTTCCAGTCTCAATGGCCATGTCTCACAGGCACGAAGGAGGACGGAGCGGACTGCTGAGCAATACACACGTCTTTTGGTTGACAGTCGGCCGGATATCACGCCTACGCCAGAGACGGCGTAAACTGGCTTTTGCTAAATGAGCCTCCTGTATCCGTCCTGAGATGTCTTCTGCTGACACTGGTTGATGCAACTTCCCAATTAAGTGAAGCTGTCAACGCGCTCTACCACTTCACTCCCTATTTCTAAACTAGGAGTCAATGTAGCCCAGCTATGCTGTCTCTCCACTCTGGAGAGAGGGGGTTAGAAAAGGTCGACCTCAGCAATTGTACATCCTGACCTACTCTACAATGGTTGGTAACCGGCGGTTAGTTTACTAATACGGAACCAAACCAAGAAACCAGGTCATACAGGCCGTGTGTGACCGGCCTCAACCATTTGTCCCATAGGCTCTGCGTTCACGCAACAATAACTCTCTATCTGTTTCGGATACCCGAAGATTCAATCAACTTTTACGGTATGGAAGCCAGGAAGCCTTCCTGAGCATCATTCTCCTTTACCGACATCACCGTCATCATCTTCCCCACGTCCACTACAGTTAGTATTATTCTTCAGGCTAGTGAGTCATCTTCACTTCACTCTGCGACCACAAACAACGATGAAAGCCATAGAAACACCCCCAACAGCCTCTTAAAGCCACGTCATCAACTTCATATAGGAGCTTTCAACGTCAGGACCCTCTGCCAAATCGGACAACAGGCATCACTAGGAAGAACTCTGACATCTTGAGCTATGGATGTATGTTGTGTTTCGGAGATACGCATACAAGACCCGAGTGTGGTCATTCACTTAATCTCACCCGGCCAACAAGGTGAGTCTGGAAAATTCACTTTAAGGGTGTCACAAGACCCCTCAGCTAGTTCGCGAGGACTCTCAGGTATAGGGATAGCTTTGAGTGTAAGGGTAGAAAAATCACATCTTGACTGGATCCCTGTAGATACTTACTTTACTTTACTTCGGCTATCTCCTACGGGAGGATGAGCCGGCTTCATGAACATCTCGAATCATCGCTGCCCAGGCGCGGCGATCTGATGCAAGGTTTTGCGACAGGGTTATCCAATTCTTGTTCCACAAACGGAGTCCGTAGACGGTTTGTAACCCCAGGCACTCCATATCAGCCTTGACTGTACTAAGCCACGTTTTCAGCTGTCCACCCCTGCGACATCGCCAAGATGGTAATGGCGAGGGATTTAGAACTGATTTGACCAGATCGTCATCTGGTCGGCGCAGAACATGGCCAAACCACCGAAGGCGACGTTGTTGGACCAGTCCTTGTGAGAGTCGTTTGTAAGAGAGTTCATGAATTTTCATGGGAATTTGGTACGAGTGATGTCCCCAGAATCGCTCGGCCTTTTGTTTGAGAGTGCAGCTCTAGCCTTTACACAACCAAGTGTGACCTACAAGGCAGTAGGAATGGAGTAGGGAGTCCACTATCCATTGGCAGCCGGTGACCGGAGTTCGGTTCATACGCCTTTTTGAATGGGGCCAGACATCCAGGACATCCAACAAGCCTTTTGGCCATATGTCTGCCGGTGAGCTCCAGTGAGCTTCTTACGCCAGCCGTATGTGTGCGGTCCGGCTGAAAGGGGCCCTTAGAAGAAAGAAGGGCGGCGTTACCCATCGTTGTCTTTTCTTAGTCTCCTCTTACGCCCCAACAGATTGCAGTTCAGATGAACTAAAGGATGTTTTCTACCACTGTCCAATTTGTTGCGAAAAGCAAAACGCTGAGAAGTATGTAGGCAGTACGTATAGAGTTCCCTGCCGGCGAACCGACAACGGTGATCGTCTTCTACAGTTCTGCTCAGATGATCATCTGTTCATAATCAGCACTAAATTTAGGCACAAAGAGACACTGCGTAACCCGGTGACCTCCATCAGCGAATCACCGTTGGACTCAGATAGGCCACATAGCGATAGGCTATCGTTGACGAGGGTCAGTAGAAGACTGCCGCTCCTCCTGGAACATGTGGGTAAACTCCGATCACGCTCTGGTTCGCGCATGTTTATGCTGACGATTTAAACGGACATAAAAAACTGTTGGCAGAAATTACATCTCCAACTAAACCAAGACACCGAGTCCCTATTCAAGGAAGAAATAGCGAAACCAGTATCTGAGGCTGACAGCAGTACTCCTCCTGAGGTAGCCTGGCACAACATACAGTCAGCTGTAGACACAGCTGTAAAAGCTGTTAATAACTTAAAACCAAAAGTTAGTAAGAGCCATTGATTGACGCAACAAGACTGATTCCAGCGAGCTCCGATTATGATGAGCAGCGAAAGGTACTTAAACGAAGACTAACAAAAAGTCTTCGCAACGACCGTGAACAGTGGTGGGCGACAAAAGCGAAAGAGATGGAAAAGGCATCGGCGATCGGTAACACCAGACAACTATTTAGACTTATCACGGAAACACATGATAATAGGCAAACGATAAGTGAAACAATCTCTGAGAAAAATGGCACCATAATTAGCTCCCAGGATAGACGACTAGGACGTTGGAAAGAACACTTTGAGGAACAGTTCAATTGGCCTAAAGCCACACTCAACTTACCGAGCATCCAACAACTCCCTGAATGGGATATAGACACAGGTCCTCTGTCCCTAACTGAGGTTACCAATGCTGTAACTAGTCTGAAACGAGGCAAGGCAGCAGGACCTGATGGAATGACTCCAGAGGTATTTAAGTACGGTGAGGACAGTTTACTGTCTGCATTGACTGAGGTACTAGGCATCGTCTATGAATCAGAGGAAGTCCCGTCAGGTTGGTGTAAGTCATCGATTATGCCCATATACAAGAAGGGAGACTAGTCTTCCTCTGATAATCACAAGGGGATTAGTTTGACCAATATGGTATCTAAAGTCCTAGGTTCAATAATATTGCGTAGACTAAGTGGTGCTCGGGAGGCAAAAACACGAGAGAATCAGGCAGGCTTTAGACCAGGAAGAGGGTGTATTGATCATATCTTCACCCTCCGACAGATTCTGGAACATAGGCATACTTACCGGCGTCCAACAATCGTTATATTTCCTGACTTATAAGCGACATTTAATTCTGTCGACCGAGAGGTACTCGGCGATGCTTGGCTGTAAAGGGAATGCCGAGAAAATACATTGCACTGATCAAGGCACTCTACTCGAACTGATGCAGTCAGCCAGGTGACGGCTTACAGCGAGTTGTCAGTTGAATTGGTGACAACTAGTGGTGTCTAACCGGGATGACCACTGTCGCCATTTCTATTTAATTTCATCACAGATGTAGTAAAGGACTTCATTAATTCAATGCAGCGACTCAGGGATGGACTTGTTACCAGCGGGTAATCTCGTCGAATTAGAATATGCAGATAATATAGTCCTCCTAGATGAGGTGAAGACGCAGACAAAATGCAGAGTCTTCTGAACACCTTGAGCTGCAATCTACGAAAGCTTGGCATGCGATTCGTTCCCACCAAACGTAAGATGGTGCTACAGGACTGAACTTCATTGACTCCTAGTTTAGAAATAGGGAGTGAAGTGGTAGAGCGCGTTGACGGAATTGATAGATGCTAGAAGACTTATTCCGGCGAGCTCCGAATTCAATGAGGAGCGAAAGCTGCACAAAAGGAAACTTACGAAAAGTCTCCGCAAGGACCGTGAACAGTGGTGGTTGATAAAGGCGAAAGAGATGGAAAAAGCATCGGCGATAGGCAACATTAGGCAACTCTTTAGACTCATCAGGCAAACGGATGGGAGAAGGCAAATCATAAGTGAGACTATTTCTGAGAAAAATGGCTACTTAATTAGCTTTTAGGATAGACGCCTTGAACGCTGGAAAGAACACTTTGAGGAGCAGTTTAACTTGCCTACAGCCACACTAAGCCTCCCCGCCATCCAGCACACACCTGAATGGGACATAGACACTGGCCCGCTGTCTGTAAGTGAGGTCACAAAAGCTATCTGTAATTTGAAACGAGGCAAAGCGGCAGGACCCGACGGAATTATTCCGGAGGTGTTTATATATGGGGGTGACATACTAGTATATAGTTTAACTAAGGTACTAGGTAACGTCTGGGAATCAGAGACGGTTCCATCAGATTGGGGTAAGTCACTTATTATACCAATATTCAAGAAGGGAGACAAGTCCTCATGTGATAATCATAGAGGAATCAGCCTGACGAACATAGTCTCTAAAATCCTAGGCTCAGTAATCATGCACAGACTAAGCCGAACTCGGGAGGAACAAACGAGGGAAAATCAAGCGGGCTTTAGGCCAGGGAGAGGGTGCACAGATCGTATCTTCACTCTCCAACAGATCCTAGAACATAAACACACTTTTAGGCGTCCAACAACTGCCATATTTCTTGACTTGAAGGCGGCCTTCGACTCCGTGGATCGAGAGGTACTATGGCAATGTTTGACTGTGAAGGGAGTACCAAGAAAGTACATTGCACTAATCAAGGCACTATACTCAAACTCACGTAGCCATGTAAGGGCTTAAGGGGAATTGTCATCTGAATTGATAACCAGCAGTGTCCGTCAAGGATGTCCACTTTCCCCTTTTCTGTTTAACTTCATCATAGATATGCTAATGGAAGTATCCTTAACTGAACTTAACGACTTAGGAATCGA